AGTGTTTGGTATACGTAGGGTTAAAAAATATATCCTAAATATCAATTTCTGTAACGTCCAAAAATGTCGAGGCGAGGCGAGGCGAGATGAGCCATTAGCGAGGCGAAGCGAGGCGAGGCAACAAAATATTGCCTCGTTTCGCTCTCTGGAACCAACTACATTAACAACAGCGTCATCAACACCTGGTCATTACTATGTTACATGATTTCCGGTGCTCTGTGCAGCTTTCTAGCCCATAAGTAGCTCCTGTGGTTGAGGATACTTCCTATTTTCTAAGGTTCTACATTTCTGCATCGCGTTCTCATCCGGGATAGCCAAAACCAACTTCATCAGAAATTCCTGATCGTTCCTCGATTTTGCAGATTTTGTTGGTACTAGCGCGTATCCTCACTTTTGTGTTTGCTCCTCCGAAACAATCGAAAATAATTTCGGGATTGGCAGGAAGTGCCAAGTAAGGGTAAAATGCTTGATATTTATTTCATTGAGAAGTTTTCTCTTCTCAAAAATACTTGAATACAATATTAAAATTCTACTCGTGGTTTTAATTGATCGACTGTAGACATGCAGGAACCGGTCATTTCCGTACTCGCTGTGTTCCTAAAAACTTGTAACATCGGCCCTTTCGCTTTCTGTACTTCAGCGGTATGACTTTTAAAAATTTTTTGGCGCAATAAAAAAATTATATACGGATATACATATGGAAGTTGCCCAGTCTGGCCGCATATCCTGACTTAGTTTTCAGTGCGTCATTTCTATTCATTGACCAAAACCTTTGATATTTTTACCAGTCATAGTGCTAATAGAGGGCTAATAATCTATGAGAGTATTGATTGTATATCGTTCCGAAACCTTCGATGATCGAGTGTCTTTATTTCAAATATCAATCAGCTTTACTTCTGTTAAAAGTCATCAGTTCAATATAGAAACAAGTTTTACTGATATTTGAAATAAAGACACTCGATCATCGAAGTTTTCGGAACGATATATAATCGATACTCTAATATATTATTAGATCTATATTGGGGCTTGTCCAAACGTAACGTTGTGACATTTTGACAAAGTCTATTTCGATTTTTTTGAAGACTATAAAAGTTACGGATCTCGTTCAAACGCTCGTAGATGCACTTCGTTAAACTCTATCAATGATAAACAAATCAAAGATTTTAGTTGAGCTCTTGTGTTTCTGCGATCACTTTAGGGCCGCGTAACAGCGTGACATAAAAGGACCCTGACCTTGCAGTACATCATTTTCGTTGTTAAGCCTTTCTTAAGATACAATTCAAATCAAATGTAACAAAGCAGTGTTTTGTAGAGCTTTCAAAGGAATTTGTTTTGCTAAAAAAGATTTTCTTCCGACTGTTTTATTTCGTACAGAAAATACGAAATACAAACATAACGCTGTGACACAATTTTTTTGCTGATCATTTTTCAGACCCTAGAATGCTTAGAATGAAGTAATTTTTTAAAGTGTAAGACTACTCGGTACTGTGATGATTTATACCCGAAAATGGAATGAGTATATTTATGTAGAAGCCTATATCAGAAGCAGTAAGTAGAGAACTTGAAAGGAGCTCACGAACCGCCTTTTGCTACAAAACCGAAACCTTAACATGTTATTTTGTACAGAATCAAAATCTGCATTGAATGGCATGTAAAAGAACATCTCTAAGGAGATTTTTTGCTGAGACCGCCCAAAATACGATTTTCAAAAAGCTTAAAAAATATTTTCTTAGAGAAAAAAGTCGACTACGAATAAAATAAACGTCATATTCGTAATCAGCACTAAAAACTACATCTGAAATAGTGTTTAGAAACGCTGTTATCGAAAAAAACACTTTTTCAAAACATAATCAGCAAAGTGTCACTTTAAGTGGACACAGTGGCATAGCCAACTTCATCAGGAGTCTCCTTAGAATTCGATCACCTTTTTCTACATTCATTATCAACTTCTTCTTCTTTCGGCTTTAGCTATTTTGAGAAAGTTTTGTTTAGCTATGAAGTTTTTGCTCAATGAATAGAAATGACGCACTGAAAACTAAGTCGGAGTATCTGGTCAGATTGGGCAACTCCATATATACTGAGATGTAACTTGCCTGATTTAGTGAAAGCATATGAACTAGGCCTATCACCAGTTTTCACAACATGTTAGAAAGACACGAAATATGCAGTTGACAGCTGTCTCAGCAGACATCATCACATGGTCCACATAAATCAAACAGGCACATCCTTAAAACAATTCGAAAAAATTTTTAATAATGTGAATTTCACTTACTTTATTGTAGCACCAACTTGTCAGGATCTAATTAAGAATCAAGACGAAACTGATATTGATTGTGGTGGTACAGAATGTTCTGAATGTTCACTCAATAAAGCTTGTTTGGTCAATTCGGATTGTTTTACTAACGAATGCAGTACAAGTTCGAAGATATGCACAGGTAAATAGTCAATCTGTTCAACATAGTATGTTGCTATAGTGATTTAGCAAAGTCATTAATACATTAGGACATCCCAGATCTTCTATTTTGTGTTATCGTGTATGAGTTAAATGGAGGTCTTTTATCATACGTCTTAGAAAAGTCATATTTTAGGATAGTATCCACAATATCTTTTTATTTTGATTTGCTTGAGTGTGATAAAAACGCGAGTAGATTCGTACAAAAGAATATGTAGGTATAGCACAGGAGGCTAAATCATGGATGAGGAGATTTTACTCACTATTTTCATCTTGCAGAGGGATTTTTTATGTATGCTACGTCTGTCGCGCTTATTATAGTGTAGAATTACTACGAGAACGACAATCTTTTAAATAGAAATATAAGTTCAAAACATTTTCTTTCGTGAAGTTATGAATTTTCTGCTCAAGTTTCTTTTCTTGTCAGATTGTTATCACGAGATAATCAGTTCGATTCTAATCCATTGGTAAGATAACTGCGATAAGATGTGATTCAAACTAAACTCAGATATAAATGTGCTCATAGGAACTAAAAAGATATGCGAAGTGATTTTAATTCTAGTCTGTCTTTCACATTACTTTTTTAAATTGCATTGATTCAGTTTCTCTAATGCTTTCATTCTCCATGCTATCACAGGAAAAACTTTCTAATTAATTACATGCTATTCTAGTGAAGTCTGGTATCACACATGGAGGTGGTGGAGGCTCACCTTTTAACGATTTAAATGTGATCGGTTCATATGGAAGAACTATTCCCACATCAATCATTGTAAGAAGTGGTATCTTAATCGATGCCATTCAAATGACCTATGAGACGAGTAATCAAACACAAGGTTCAGTAGTCACACAAGCACCCGTAAGAGGTAGGGCTAGTGGAACACAGCACCAATTCGATCTACTTCCTGGCGAAAGAATCGTGAAAGTTAACGGACGTAGTGCAGGGACAGTTATTGGTCTGCAGTTTACAACAAGTACAGGAAGAGTAAGTTCCTATTATGGTGGTTCTGATGGCACAGCATTTACCGAAGAGTATTCTGGTTATGTTTTATCGTATATAAGTGGCCGATGCGCAGATGCATTAGATCAAATACAGTTTCTTTGGATTCGCGGATGACTATAGAAAGGATGACGGTGAAAACGTACGTGTTGTGGCAGGAATAATTTTCATTCCAGGAGTTTGCTTTGTCTTTTCTTTCTCTTTTTTGCTTTGGCCTATATAATCCCATATTCTTTTCTCTTTGTTCTTACTACCCAGGACGCGTAATCGGCGATCCGAATCTCGTCGGATCCTGTCGGAAACCCTCGAAACCGATAGGATCCCACAGATTTTCATGCCCACAATTTTCGTTACTTTTTAAAACTTTTATATTTGTATATATTCCCTCGACTGAAAGGAGGGTCATGTCGAAAAAAAGTGGTCAAAAAATTGAAATGTGTTTTTATGTATGTTTGTCGTGGGTCAAAGGTCACCATATTTTCATATGACCAAAACATCATAAACCATGGTCTGAGAGGGTTGTTGAGGATGGATGTTGGTCGGAGAAAGCGTAGAGGTTAACGGTGATAGCGAAGGCGGCCGAAGGCCGGGTGGGCGCTCGAAGACAACTATTCACATGTTGTATATATTTATGAGTGTTTCAGTAGCTACAGGGAATCCATGATGTCAATCAATAGCACTGCAGGAAGTGAAAAGATTGAGATCAATGTGGAGGGAAGATCAGAGAGAAGGAATGGGTGACTGGGATGCTAGGCGATGTAAGACGACATGAGAGCGAGAATTACGTCCATGAAAGAATGACTGGAACGGAGAATAACAATAAATGAAACAGGAAATTTCATCTTTTCCGTTACAGAAATCAGATTCAGTAACTCCTTCGCATACGTACATAGCTGTAACTGGAGATGCCGTTTTCTGCAATGTACGGCGAAATGATAAAGATCGGAAGTGTAGATATATGCGCAATATTGTTCTTCCTATCCAGTACACCGTCTGAACATGTGATACGTTCGCCATACAGATTTCCTTCTTATCCACCGATATCCCTCTAGTGACATAAAATCAGCGCGCCCACATACTCAGAGGAGAACTTGTGCTACAAATAGAATCTCAGCTATCCCTACAATTGCTATTCTGAAATCTTGCCGTATCCGAACCACACCACGAGACGTATCGTGAGCCTCAGCACTCTACAGCACTAATCGTCGCCCTTTCATGAACAGAACTCTCCTGCGCAACCACTGTGGACACTGCCTAACGCGAATGAACAAAAACGAGCGCACATCTTGCGGACCGTGCACCGTGACGACTACGCAGGGCAAAGCGATAGGTGGCAATCCGCAGGATCGTCACTCATCGCTTCCACAACACCATCCTACCCGACCACAACTACCGACACATCTACAATTTTGATTATTCCGAAAACTCGGAATTACTTTCGAAATGGAAACTAACCATCATCAAAACGAAAATTAATACGACAACAGAGCTTTTGGGATTATTCTAGATCCCCATCTTCAGTATTGACGCTGATTGAGATTATACAAAATTCCTGTTTTGCATTAATTTTTCAAATTGTAGTTCAAAAACTAACCATCTTATAGAACACTCGAGGAGACCCCTTCCTACACCCCATCCAAGCACAACATCCACTCATACACACACTGACAACACAAAAGTCTTGACTATCTCACTCCTTACTTCTGGAGGTACGGACCATCCTATCAGAAATTCTTCCTACCTCAAAAATTAGCCCGTAGAATCAAAGTTCATTCTCTCTTCTAGTGCAACGTCCCTCCTCCATCTCTCCCATGAGCACCACAATCTAGTTTGAAATCGAAATTATTGTTTCCTGTACACATATACTTGTGCACTGCATATCCGAAGAAGGAGGAGAGCATTCATCTCTCTCTCTCAAAAGATGATTTCGCGTCATCTAAGTAGCGATCGTCACACCCAATTCGTGTCTTCGCACATCGCTAAGAAACACGTTCGCTGTTATATAACTTGGATTTTGAATATGGTCTTCCGAAAGAATGAATTTCTGTCTCCAACGTTGTAAAACGCCTTGTGTATATCTATTTCTGAAGGGAAGGCGATTCTATCCCCATCTTTCACGTATCGTCTCGTGGATACTCTCATTTTCAATAATCGAGTAATGAGATGATTCATAGCAACAGATCCCGTGGAATTATGAAAAAAAATATGAAGCTTTTTCGAATTTCAAAATTAATGTCGAACACAGGAAATTCGGAACGAAAACGTCAGGATGTGTTTGAAAAGAAGATTTTTTCTGATTTTGAACCTTGAAATGGTTTGTTTATATCACTTTATATCGTGATTGCGAGTGAGAGGAACGTGTGGTGGGTAGGGTGCATTATCAGATTAGATTTTTGAAGAGCATAACTCATGTGAATTCGAAATTCGTGCAGAATAGTGAAGGAAAGAGAAAGATAAAGGAAAAGAAGGATGCTTTAAAAAGCGGGAGTACATGTAATATCTATCATTATCAATTGATATCGTAACTGTATTGAGGAAAAAAATATAAGTTGCTTCACGAAACAGAAAGTTGTCTGTTGGACAAACTAAGTTCTGCTGCTTATATGATGTTAATTTATGTGACGCTATTAAAGATTTCAAGTTGTTTCTTGTTCGTCTTTTATTATCTGTAGTCTATCAACTGGTCCTTTTGATTTTGTGAGTATAGCCGAGTCTAGTCTTTGACTAGCAATATGATTCCCGTTATGGGAAAAACAAGTGGTCAGATGACCCAGAAGATGATTTATCAATATGACAGATGATGACAAGTATAACTTTAGCTAATGCAGTATGAATATAAGAGTGCATTTCATCAGTGGAATCAGGTTACTTGCGTGAATATTTACATTGTAAGCATGAGTTGTTTTTCGAGATTGCATAACGAAAGTATGGATTTACAAGGGGGTGAGCCATTTCGTGAGATCCTTCGGATGGTCTAAAAATTAAATAGTCATATTGGTCTAATGAGGATCATTTTCATGTTATGAAAATTTTTATTTCAAATTTTGGAGTCTCTAGCTTGAAAGACAGTAAATAAAATTGAGCAAAGTTCATAACATAAACAGACAACTTCGTTTGAGACAGACGGTTTGTTGAATCATGATTGAAACGTAACAAGACAGTTCAACGTATGACCGACGATTCCTACACGCGTTTAAGTATAAGCATTTTCCAATGAGACGATCAGAAGAGAGAAAATCATTCTCATCAGTCGTAGAAAATGGTATGAGTTGTGACGCAACGTTGATTCATTTATGAGAAACTCATTCAGTTGAATTTTATTTGAAAGTAACTACATCTACTCAACTAAAAGATATCTTATCTGTTGGTATTAAATTACCCATACATGTAAAAGTCGAAGAGACTATTCGAGTTTTAAACTTCTAAATTTAGAATTCGAGTACTCGAGTTTTAAACTCTTAACTAATTGGCTATTAAACATCCACTAACTAAATGCTAATTATTAAATGATTAACTACCTATCATCTACTAGCTAACTGATTAGCAATTATTAACTAACTGATTATCTTGAGGGTGTGGGTGCAGCCGACAACGGCACAGGCAGGGTCAATGTGAACGGCATTCGTTACCGTTAGTTGGTTGATAACTGATAGTCTTATAGTTAATAAATGATTATGTAGTATTTAATAGTCATATGCCGATTATTTGACAGTCGGTTGATTGATAATAAGTAATTGGTTGGTAAATATCTAATTAACTGTTACATAATAGTTAATAATTAGTCATTCAACGATTTACGATTAATCACTGACGAGTTGGTAAGCGGATACCTCGAAACTTCGAATTATAGATTTATAAGTTTAAAAGTCGAGCGCTCGAATTCTAAACTGAAAGATTTAGAATTCGAATGAAAGTTTTCAAACTCGAATCGAATTAACGATTTCTACACTACTCGTAATTCCTTCGATCCAAGGGAAACAGAAACAATTATTAAAGGAGAAAAAGATGGCTCAAAACAACGTGTTATTTGTCCACAAACGATATTTAAATACAACAAATTTATGGGTAGTGTAGATTCATTTGATCAACGCATTTCAATGTCGCCGATTGGTGATGTTAGTACAAGAAAAAGAAAAGGTAGACCTGTTCACTTTTCTGCTCAAAAGCTAAGATGAATTCAAATGACAACGAAGAAGAAATCTTTATCAGCTCCATTATTAGCACATATGCCTGTTGCTGGACCTAAAGGAAGGTACGGATATTGCAGCACTAAAGTTCGTCCGATATTCAGTAACATAAAATGCAGTTTTTTTTGGTATTTCTTTATGCGTAAAGCAGCATACAAATTGTTTTTTGTTATTTCACGAAAACATTGCATAGATTTTACAATTAATAAACTTCAACAGTTTAGATCTCCATTCAGCCGAATAGAGTTCAATGTGCCTTACATTGCACGAACCGACTAATCATCTATAAGAAGACATGAGATATATCTAACGTATACTCTTATGTCAAAAAGAAGCTAATCCAATGATTTACTTGAATTCAATCCAACAAAAATTAATTCCAAGGTCAAAGGGTTAAATTAAATAGTTCATTATTATTACCATTAACTAAAAGCATATATCCATCTAGATCATTTTCTGTATGATCCAAAGCATTAATATGCCATGTTGGTCGATCATTTAGAATTTTATTGACTAGGTTAATTGGTGAATTTATTGATGACGATATTGAATATTGAAAATGTGATTTTGTTAAAGTAAAATTCAGTGGAATTACATTTGAATTATCATCCGTACCACAGCCGAATGTTATTAATAAGAGTGTTTGCCCATCATTTAAACATGAATCAATTGATTTACTACCTATATAAAATAAATTTAATACGATTATTTTATTAAAAATCAGAAATAAGATAATACAAATTGACGTTATAACTCTCATTGATCATTTATCAAAGTAAAGAACTTTCTTCTACTATATTTGTTAATATAAAATAAATCTATGTAATGACGTGCATATTTGTTTTATTTTCTAAATGTGTTGATTAATCAATGAAGTATTGATTAGAATAGTATTTATATTAGTATTCACGTCCAACAGTCTAAACTTTTTCTTTCCAATAAAAAAAGCATATCAATAGGAATAGTATCATTATTGAATATCTTTATAATCTCTCAACGTACTCGACTGTATTCGTCATTGTTAATATTTCTCATAAACAATGCTAAATATTACTTATATAGTCTTTATAATCATAATCTGAAAGAAGTCTGCCAATAGAGATGTAAGTGAAAATAATTACGAGTACAAAGCGTCGAGCGACGTAAAAACAAAATACAATAATGCACTTGATGGAATTGACATAATGATTAGGAATCTAACAATAAATCAAGACGAACAAAAGGAAAGAAGAGCTTTGAACTAATCGATATTTGAAAATACTGAACGCATATGAATGGCACTTCAACACATACGATTCATTGTTAATTCAAGTAGATTATTGCTCATTTAAATATAAATCGATATTAGTCCCATAACTGTGATTGACCAATATATTCGTCAAAGGAATGCTTATAGAAACAATAAATATAGCAGCAGTCTTCTTGTTTAAAAGTCTATTCCAACATGAATCATTATGTGAATGAGTACAGTCTCAGTTTTTATTCTTGTTTCAACAAAAGATGTTTATTTTTAATATTTATATCTATTTCATTTATTTATTTCACAATACAATCACAACATAGTAAAGGTACTTCGCAGATTTAGCTTTTCGAATTACTGACGTTATTGTATGAATTATTGTTGATTGTATCGATAAAAAAAAATATTTAGCATAAAAACTGAACTCTACTTCAAGATTATCTGATAAACCAAGTATATAGGCAAGTATTAACACTGATGCACACCCACCTGTAATTTGCTTTGAATTTGAGTGTTGTAAGAAATAATCAATTAAGAACGCTACTTCTCTTTCAACAATTTATTTCATGTGTGATAGGTAATCTTTGTGGAAGCTGATAACATCACTTGGTTTCAGTCCTTCAGTGTTGATCTGTTAAAGAAAATATCATATTTACGCTTTCTGGACCCGTTATTATGCGTATCTTTGAGGATCTTGTCCGTTCCGGTATGAGATAGTTATGATTGAATTTAGATAAATTCTTCATCACCTCATAATCCTCTATTTTCTCTTAATACGATTCATCAGAACAAATCATGATTGTCATGTGTGATTCGCTTGGCTCTTGCATAAATACATTTTAGATAAATTGAGATCACCTCTGAATTGGTATAACAATATTTGTAAACTTTCTAACGACAAATCTTTGTATTTTTCGTCCAAAATTAACACTATTTGGTATTGACCAACGCAAAAAAATTGTTAATCCACCATAAAGACTAAGTAAAATCGTGATTACTTGAAAGAGATTCGAACGTTGCACATATGTATATGAACATACATTTGGTGCACATTGATGAAAATATGCTTGATAATTCTTTGAAATGATCCATTCTTCGACAAATAGTTCTTTGAGAAGATTATTAATTGTTTCATTCATTTCAAATTTGCTATTGTCAACATTCAACGGCTCCGCATATGTTTTATAATACTAGATGAAAACAAAATATCAATCGAGATGGAAAACAAGAAAAATAGATTCTACACTTACATTCGTAGGTAAATATGTTCGAAGATGATTTATACAATTTATATCATAAAAACATTCAAGTGTTGATATAAGTAGTGTTTCACTTGGTAAACAACCCATATAAAAACCTTTAATTTCCAAAGATTCATTCAATAGAATTCGAGCAGGAACAACACATGTTGATTTAAAACCACAGTCACATTGTTCTGTTTCATTATATACAATCGAGTTGGTTGTTAATATCGAGTAAGACGCTGTTAGTTGTTGTTCCGAGACAACAAATTGATAATTATTTCCATAAACAGTCATCAATGCATTTCCATCGTTCACTGATCGAATTAAATTTAAAAGACGAACGAAATTGATCGGTGCATTGCTGATGGTTTGTTTGAATAAATTTGATATTTGGATTTCAAAATCAAACTTTGATAGAAGTGAACTGGTTATAAAAGAATTCGAAAGAAATTTATTGATCGAATTATTTGCTTGAGTGATTGATTGTTTGCACAGGCCAGAAAGAAATTGTAAATGTGCAGAAATGTAAAATCGATAATCAGATTTATTTAGCATATATCGAATATTTGCAGCACCAAGAGTCAATGCTTCTCGCCATTGATCGCTTACGAAGGTACTTGAGCAAATCTCAAATAGAAAAACACGAATTCTTGGATAAACATTTTTTCATTTTACTTGATGAAAATTAATATGAATTCGAAGTAATTGATTTAATGGAGTAGAAATTTGTGTACATCGACAAATTGCTGTGTCAACATATTTACTTAATAATTGTTCTGTATCAGATAAAGGTGGATTTTCAAGAACTTCTGTTATCAATCTTGCTTCGATTAAATTATATAAAAGAAGAATTATAAGACTGATAGTTAAACTACAGAGATACATTCGTGTTGCGATACGATTGAGTAAATTTGCTGTTTGACGATCTGTATTTGTACCGAAATCTGATGTACGAAATAATGTTAAATTTAATAATTTGGATTTCAGAAAGTTTTGTATAGAATTCAGGAAACAACGAATCATCGATGTTCGTTCTATTTAACAGAAAACAAATTATTAGTCTCTAGCATCATCTTAAACGTGTGGGTGAGAGTGAAGGAAGATATGAATAAACTGTAATTGTACGCATTAAAAATATCGAATAGACTTACCTTCATCGATATTTGTTTGTCTTTGTCGTCGTTGATAACAACATGATTTGATCGTTTTGATGATTAATGGAGTTAAAAAATGTAAAACAAATGATAATCCACCATATAAAGACAAAACAATTGTAATCGAATAACTAAGACTATTCCTATGCAAATATTTATAACTACAAAAATTTGGATGACACGCTTGAAAATATTTCTCGTAAGAAATATTAATTATCCAATGATCTATGAAACTCTTTTCTATTAATTGATTTATTGTGGAATTTTCATTAAAATAAAATAATGTTTCTTTTGATAATGGTGGAAGATATTGAGCATATGTACTTGTTTCATTTAAAGAAACAAATAAAATATCGATAAGACAAGAATTTGAATACAAACATTGTAACGATGAATGAAAGAGTGAATCAATTATTGAACAACGTAAGACAAAACCAGGTATAAATGTTCGAATAGTAATACCGACGAACATTGAATATTCACATGAAGGATCAAATGTACAATAACATAAATAACCTGAATTGGATATTCCGTTAATAATAATATTCACCTGAAATGATCCATTTTCAGTTGTATTTATAAAACTAATTCCTCCATTGGATGCTGATTCTGAAAAATATTGATCAATTTGATTATTTAATAGATTGATGACAATTGGAAGTCGAAAATCATTTTCTAAACTACGAATGAATTCATTAGATATTTCAGTAACTTGTTCGGTAAGATAATTTTCATCGAGTAAATTCAAACTTATCAATGTTCTTTGATTAAATTTATTTAAAGCATCATTTATCATATTGTTTGCATAAACACATAATTCTCGTAATGTTTGAAAAAGATTAAACGAAAGAACACGCCAATCGATGCTGAGCATTACATACATCTTATTTGCTTTTAATTGACGAATCCAGACATCTTCAATAAAAGAACTCAGACAAATCGAATGAAATGAAGGAATTAATGTGACAAACAACGAAGAAATTTGTTGAAATTCCGAACATGAACAAGTTATTTCATTCGAATATTTTGATTTTAAATATTGATACATTTCATATGAAGGAAATGAATTGGTGAAGATTGTTGTTTGTTTATTAAGAATTATAAATAAAATAAGAATGGAAATAGATCCTATGAAAACAAATATTTTCGAAAATTCCAACAAGATTAATGAATTATCATCTTTATTAGATTTGGATATATTTCTCATTAAAATATGACAATCATATCATCTCCAAATTAACCTTCTTACTCTCAAGTTATACAGTCGACGAAGAAAATGTTTGATAAAGTGATTATTGCGTTATCCTTCATTCGATTAAACTGATTATTAATGAAATGAGGACGAATGTTCTTCACACAAGCTGATAACCCATTCAATATTCAACTTTCGTCTTTGACATTATTCTCTCTATCAATACTTTTAGCACAACCTGCTCAAAATTGCGCATAAGTAATAAGCAATAGGAATTGAAATTTCATACCGATAAGTAAAACAAGATATAATCTTGTTGTTATTCGTTGTTGTTGAATTAGTTCAGGTGAACGATCAGTTGTTTTAAATAAATTCAATTTGAATATTCGAGTTTTTAAAGTCTTTAAAAGTATTAATAATCGTCGGAGAGACTTTTCTTGAAAATGAAACAGTCAAAATGATATTGGGATTTAATTAAATGAAATTTTACTTTCGTGATTATTTTGATTTGCCGAATGTTGCTTTCGTTTTAAAACCCATTTAATAAGAAAAGGAATAATCTTTCTGAGAACAGTTTGTAAACTTCCATAAAAACCAAGAAGAATTGTGATCATATAAATAAAATCAGCTCGTTTTGTATAAGAATAAGTACAACTATTTGGCGAACATCGTTGAAAATATTGATTATAATCAATTTCAAATGAGAATTCTTCAATAAAAAATTCTTCTAATAAAGAATTAATATTGGTATTCAAAGAATATCTAGTTAACCATGATTTATTGAGGACATCATCGTTAAATATTGTCTAAATAGAAATAGAAATAGAAATTTCTAAGGATATCATATGATACTTGATTGAGTTTTGGAAAATATCTCTTCAAAATTGCAACACATTTCAAACTATAAAGACATTCCAACGTTCCTCCCAGCAAACTTTCCATTGTTGTACATGAAATCATAAAACCTTCAATAACGTCGAGAATTTCATAATTTTGTGGTTTGAAATACCAGTACAAAAATGCATCATGATCGTTTATCATTGGATAAAAACCCGCAGGATATTGACAATAATCATTATCACAATCACATATTGTAGTTCGAGTATTATTATAAAGATACCAACTGATTGAATTTCTATACCAACCTGGTAATCGATTTGCACCATTATTCACAGCTGCATTAAGATAATTTGTATTTAATGCAGACATAAATTTATTTGTACGTGTGTTTAAAATACTCAATTGAAGAGTATTGATGAATAACTTTGCCCAATTATATTTTATGAGTTCAACTGTGTTTTGGATTTGACTATCTAATTGACTTTCTAATAGAAGTATTGGAGAGATTAACTGAGTTTTATTTATATCGAATATCATATCTGATGTAGTCAGTTGTGCGAATTCGCAAAAATTGCGCAGTAATTTGAACTAATCAAGAAAATAAAAATAGAAAATTGGAATTATCGTTCAAAATCTTTCAAATACTTGTGAACTGCCCGTTGTGCGAAAATCGATTGGTAAATATAAACCGTTTTGTGAAAAAAATAGACTTGAAATCCATTGTTCAGTTACAAAAATACTCGAACAAATCTGATGAAATGTTATTTGAATGTTTGTAAATGTTTCGTATAAAATGGTTAATGCAGAACATGGACAATTTAATGTATCTGAATATTCGAATTGTAATTGACGATAAACTTCGATTGATGGTTGATTTATTGTGATTATTTTCGTTTGTTGTTGTAATAAAGTAAAGACGAGTAAAATGAATAGAATACCTAAAATAGCATAAAATTTGTTTAGAGAAAATTTACTTTTCATGGTTGTTATACTATTAAGTAATAAGACATAAAGTCGTGTTGATATACGTTGATGTTGTAATTGATCTTCTGCAATATGAAAACTCAGGTGTTCGTCACCATCATCATCATCATATTCATCTTCTTCGGGGAAAAATAAATTCCATTCCAGTAGACTTTGACGAAATTTCCGAAAAAAATCCATTTTCTTTTTAATGTTAATAGAAAGTATTAAGTTATAAACAACACCAATTACTCGATAATTTTTAACGAATGTATTGTAATTAGTGTATTCATTTGTTTATTATGTAGAACATTTCTCATTTTACTATATAAACTCGTTGATTGTTTATACAAAAGAGTTTTAGATACTTGAAAATAAATAGTTTTATGCAACAATTTACAAAAGAATTTATAATTAGAAACATCGATTTACATTTCTCAAGTTATACTGAACATGGTTTTCAGTATAGGTAGCCAAAAGCGATAGCATTTTATTTATATTTGGACATTTAAATTCTATAAAATTCGATCGGAATAGTTTATCCGAGTCATTTCTAATCCAGTCAGATGCTAAAATCAGCATAAAACAAATTACAGCACAGAGGGAAAAAGATTCATTTGTAAAACATTAAATGACTGGTGTAGACTTGTGTGGCACGATAAATAAATTAAATGGAAGTACCATTCGTAGTTGAGTTTATGCTCTTTTGAACACACGTGTGCATTTGGTGTCTCTTGACGAGATTTACTAGTAAGAGCAGAGCATAAAAATATTGCGCATTGTTCACTTGTTTTGTGAGGTTTCACATAGCGATGACTTTCCGTTATTTTACTAGAAAAATAAACACTATGACCATACCATTTACCTTATCATTCAGAAACAATCAATGTTTATGAAAACTAAATGAAGGGAAATTATTTGACTGTGTGCTCGAATCCATGTGCTATAATAGATTGAAGAATATTGTTATCATCTGAACATTCATGATAAAGAATCTTTCGATGAAATATCAACATCTACACACGGAGTGGGTATGTACCATTTCGATTCTCCCAGAATATACTGGTAGAGTGTCACTTTTCCGTTCAAAATATTGATGAAATATATTTGATAGTTGAAACATTTCCTTGCCACAATTGAAATCACCACAACCTGTGTAGATAAAAGAATATTAAATTACACTAATTGCAGAAAATGCTAATATTTTACATAATGGAGCTGTACTGCTTGGTGCATAGTGATGGAAATAATTAAATCGTCGAACTTATTCTTGTAATTCACATTCGGTTAGTTGGCCACGCGTACAAGGATTGAAAATGAGATTTTTACAGGATAAAATTCCTGCTAATCTTGTTATACATTGATCTTTCACTATATTCTTCATAGGCCTATCTGATGCTGAACAGATGACTATAACATCAGTCTAAATTAAATATTTGATGCCTTTGTTGAAATGATTTTGAAAGAATAAAAATATTCATTGATTTACAAATATTTTCAGTCACCAGATCACCGAATTTAATATCGAGAGAATACGAAACTCCTAACCCTTGTTTTAAACGCGATAAAATTCCCGTTACAAACTTATCTATTGACAAACTTTCACTATAATCATCAAAGACATAAATTAGTTAACTATATTGTATATCAGTGAGAATATTTTTCCTGTCAATAAATCTGGTAACAGACGCATCACGTACATATCCCGCTGTTGTGAAACTATTCATAGATGATCTTTTCGTTCAATTCGAGATCCACGAGTAGAAGAAACAGCCGTCTATTCAAGTAAAATGGCGTTTTGCTCACGTAAAGTGATAGCATAGAAATGACTTGGAGAGGCTAAGATTGCTCTTCCATTCGTAGCTGTCGAGATCTGGCATAGATATCCATTCTAAATTGATAGTACCACTCGTATTTTTTGGTGGTGAAATACGTGGACATATTTTGAGGCCCGAACGAAATAATCACTTTCGCCATAGCTTTATCAAGCGAGACAGCTGTATAGTTAATTTCACAATTGAATGAAGTATCTTTGAAACTATGTTAAAAGATGAACATCAAAATCGTCATACTTCTGAATTCTATACGTAACCAGTCTGTATTTGCATCATATAGAAAAATAAATGATGTTTTTCTTTTTTCAATAAGAAAAAGAAAACGAACGTTAGTGGTGTGTGGACGCGTCGTCATGGCAAACATTAGTCTTCAAAATCGGCATGGTATACTTTCGAAAACGACAAGAAGAAAAAGATGTGCAGCAGTATCAATGACAAACAGGCATCAAATTCAATCTACCATTCATCATGTCTTCATTAGATACAGATCCGATGTTCGGTTGCGTTTATGACCATAATAGGATATCACCAAAAATAATGCTCAATAAATGACTGAAATTTCTATTCATAACAGAGAGTTAGTCTATAAGGTGAAGAAATTAGCATTTAATTCTGCTCGTAAATCTTCTATTTAAGCGTAATCTTTCTCCTTCGCATAGTTTATAAGAGAATATACTTAAATGAAAGAATTCCAAGGTAAATAAAAATGTCCACGTGTAGTTTGAAAGAATACGTTTTTCAGCAATGATGGCAGAAGCGAATATGAAGGCATTTGCAATCTCAATTCTAATTTTGTTTAGCCTTACTTTTGTATTCTATAATATTTATTCAATTTCATCATTCCAACAAGAAAATGTCGAGATCAATGATGATTATGAACGAGGATTTATTTCTAAATCGCTTTATAATCAATTATATTCTTATATTCAATCACGAAACAGTACGTTTGGTCAAATTGGAAAACGATTGATGATAGAAAATGGAACAGTTTTCACGTTACCAACAAAGAACGATTATATTGACTTTCTGAACAAGTCTCAATCGATATTTTATCCATATTCAACATGGAAATGCTCAAATACATCAAATACAGATGAAAATGCACGAGAATATTGTTTGTTAACCAACATTTATTACGATTCGAAACTTGATCGATATTATTTTTACACAAATTCATCAGATAGCCATCACTATCGAAATACATTTCAAACACCATCCGATGTTATTTTTCTCAATCGTATCGACAATTTAACATCTTTAAGAAGTTCGATTTCATCGATTTTAACTCGATCGTTGTTAATATCAGATCCTCCTGATTTGAATTATATGCATGGTTTTATCGAAGCATGTGCAGTTCGCTTTTGGGTTTTATCAGAATGTCAATCTCATTCAACATTTATAAATCCAAACCAAATTCAAATTTATTATCAATCAACAATGTTCAAAATTCACGATGGAAATTGGAAACAATATGAACAACAATCCGATGGAACATATCAACCAAAACGTCCATGGGAAAGAATTCTTCACTCGATCTTTTCAGTTTATCCATTGTTAATTCATCGTTCATTCAATGATACAATTGTGTTGTTCAAATATTTGTTATTTCCAGGTCGACAAACGAGTCGATCAGTAGCATGGGGATATACACATCCTTATCGACATTTTCCATCGTATCCTTTGCCTACTGAACATTATCGTCGTGCTTATTTAGCTTATTCCGAATGGATTTTGTATCATTTAAATTTAAAATCAAAATTTCAATTAACAAACGTACAGAATGATTTACAAAAGAAAAATCAAGAGGAAACTATTCCATTTTGTCTCAATCAAACATGTTCGAATATTCAATTAGAAAATTATACAGGCGAATGGATCGTAGTTTTAAATCGTTATGATACGAATATTCGTCGAATAAATAATGGAAAACAATTAGTTAAAGCATTGTTGAACGTTTTTCCTGAACATTCAAATCCATATTTACGCGTTTGGCCAAAAGAATTTGATTTCAATGATAATTTCTATGAATCAGTTCATATGTCACGTTCAATTCGTATATTAATTGCTGTTCATGGCGCTGGATTAGCCAATATGATTTTTATGAGACCAGGAACGATTCTTTTTGAAATTAATCCATATGGTTGTCGTCATTTACCATTTTATTATCGTCGATGGGCAGAAATTTTTCATCTTCAACATGCTTTATGGATTCCATCGGCAAGTGAACGTGGTTTCCAAGATAATTCATGTTGACGAGATAGAACAATTACTGTCAATATCAAAGAAAGCATTGAGGAAATCAAAAATTTATTAAAAANTATGAAAACAAATATTTTCGAAAATTCCAACAAGATTAATGAATTATCATCTTTATTAGATTTGGATATATTTCTCATTAAAATATGACAATCATATCATCTCCAAATTAACCTTCTTACTACTCTCAAGTTATACAGTCGACGAAGAAAATGTTTAATAAAGTGATTACTGCGTTATTCTTCATTCAATTGAACTGATTATTAATGAAATGAGGACGAATGTTCGTCACACAACCTGATAACCCATTCAAGATTCAACTTTCCTCTTTGACATTATTCTCTCTATCAATACTTTTAGCATAAGCTGCTCAAAATTGCGCATAAGTAATAAAAAAGCAATAGGAATTGAAATTTCATACCGATAAGTAAAACAAGATATAATCTTGTTGTTATTCGTTGTTGGTAAATTAGTTCAGGTGAACGATCAGCTGTTTTAAATAAATTCAATTTGAATATTCGAGTTTTGAAAGCCTTTAAAAGTATTAATAATCGTCGGAGAGACTTTTCTTGAAAATAAAACAGTGAAAATGATATTGGGATTTAATTAAATGAAATTTTACTTTCGTGATTATTTTGATTTGCCGAACGTGGCGTTCGTTTTAAAACCCATTTAATAAGAAAAGGAATAATCTTTCTGAGAACAGTTTGTAAACTTCCATAAAAACCAAGGAGAATGGTGATCATATAAATAAAATCAGCTCGTTTTGTATAAGAATAAGTACAACTATTTGGAGAACATCGTTGAAAATATTGATTATAATCAATTTCACATGAGAATTCTTCAATAAAAAGTTCTTCTAATAAAGAATTGATATTGGTATTCAAAGAATATTTAGTTAACCATGATTTATTGAGGATATCATCGTCAAATATTGTCTAAATAGAAATAGAAATAGAAATCTCAAAGGATATATCATATGATACTTGATTGAGTTTTGGAAAATATCTCCTCAAAATTGCAACACATTTCAAACTATAAAGACATTCCAATGTTCCTCCCAGCAAACTTTCCATTGTTGTACATGAAATCATAAAACCTTCAATAGCGTCGAGAATTTCGTAATTTTGTGGTTTGAAATACCAGTACAAAAATGCATCATGATCGTTTATCATTGGATAAAAACCCGCAGGATATTGACAATAATCATTATCACAATCACATATTGTAGTTCGAGTATTATTATAAAGATACCAGCTGATTGAATTTCTATACCAACCTGGCAATTGATTTGGACCGTTATTCACAGCTGCATTAAGATAATTTGTATTTAATGCAGACATNTAAAGATGTTAAATTGTCGATACGATTGAGAAAAATAACATCGGATGGTGTTTGAAATATATTTCAATAGTGATGTTTATCTGATGAATTTGTGTAAAAATAATATCGATCGAGTTTCGAATCGGAATAAATGTTGGTTAACAAACAATATTCTCGCATCTTGAGGGTGTGGATTGGCCACATGATAATTCTATAACTTCTCAAACTGTGATTGATTCGACAATCGAATCAATTAGAGATTATTGTTTCCAATTTGGTCTTACTTATTATTATACAGTTACATCTGTAGATCATATTGATGAAAGTGATTATTTCGTTCGAGTGTCAATATGTCCATGTATTTCACCACCAAAAACCTATACTCCAAAAAATACGAGTGGTACTATCATTTTAGAATGAATATTGCATTTATCGCAGCATAGAGACTATCGATACGATAATGACATGTCTAACCGATAAATATAGTTGTTTGTTTGAAAGTATCATGTTGTGAAGAAATCTTTTCTTTTCAAAGTTGTACAAATATTTTTGTTTTGAGTAACAATCGCAGATCCAACAAATATTTCATATACAGACGACAATCTACACGATGGTATCGATTTTTGGTATACAATAACATTGATAGATTGTGCAGGTGTAAGTTCATACTCGACAGGTATGAATGGAAGAGCAATCTTAGCCTCTCCAAGTCATTTCTATGCTATCACTTTACATGAGCAAAACGCCATTTTACTTGAATAGACGGCTGTCTCTTCTGCTCGTGGATCTCGAATTGAACGAAAAGATCATCTGAATAGTTTCATAACAATGCGATATGTATGTGATGCGTCTGTTACCAGATTTATTCACAGGAAAAATATTCTCACTGATATACAATATAGTTAGCTCATCTATGCCTTTGATGTTTATAGTGAGAGTTTGTCAGTAGAGAAATTTGTAATAATGGGAATTTTATCGCGTTTAAAATAATGTTAACATAGTTCGAATTCAAAGAATTCAGCACAAACGTTTGTATCGGCAACATTTAGACGACATTTTGACATACATTACTCGAAAAATTCTTTACTATGAATGTTCAGATGATAATAATATTCTTCAATCTATTATAGCACATGGATTCGATCGAAGTCGAGCTGGTCGAGCATACAATAAAATAATTTCCCTTCATTTAGTTTTCATAAACATTGACTATTTCTTAATAATAAGATAAATGGTATGGTCATAGTGTTTATTTTTCTAGTAAAGTAACGGAAAGTCATTGCTATGTGAAACCTCACAAAACAAATAGACAATGCGCGATATTTTTATGTTCTGTTCTTACTAGTAAACCTCGTCAAGAGATGCAAAATGTACATCTGTATTCAAAAGAGTATAACTCAACTACGGATGGTACTTCCATTTATTTTATTTATCGTACCGTACAAGTCTACACCAGTCATTTCATATTTTACAAATAAATCTTTACTTTGTGTTGCAATCTGTTTTCGGTTTTGATTGTTTTATACTGATTTTAGCATCTGACTGGATTATAAATGATTCGGATCAACTATTCCGATAAAATCTTATAGAATTCGAATGTTCAAATATAAATAAATCGATCTTTTCAATTTATCCATTGTTAATTCATCGTTCATTCAATGATACAATTGTGATGTTCAAATATTTGTTATTTACAAGTCGACAAATGAGTCGATCAGTAGCATGGGGATATTACACATCCTTATCGACATTTTCCATCGTATCCTTTGCCTATTGAACATTATCGTCGTGTTTATTCTGAATGGATTTTGTATCATTTAAATTTAAAATCAAAATTTCAATTGACAAACACACAGAATGATTTACAAAAGAAAAATCAAGAGGAAACTATTTCATTTTGTTTCAATCAAACATGTTCGAATATTCAATTAGAAAATTATACAGGCGAATGGATCATAGTTTTAAATCGTTATGATACGAATATTCGTCGAACAAATAATGGAAAACAATTAGTTAAAGCATTGTTGAACTTTTTTTCTGATCATTCAAATCCATATTTACGCATTTGGCCAAAAGAATTTGATTTCAATGATAATTTCTATGAATCAGTTCGTATGTCACGTTCAATTCGTATATTAATTGCTGTTCATGGTGCTGGATTAGCCAATATGATTTTTATGAGACCAGAAACGATTCTTTTCGAAATTAATCATATGGTTGTCGACATTTATCATTTTATTATCGTCGATGGGCAGAAATTTTTCATCTTCAACATGCTTTATGGATTTCATCGGCAAGTGAACGTGGTTTCCAAGATAATTCATGTTGACGAGATAGAACAATTACTGTCAATATCAAAGAAAGCATTGAGGAAATCAAAAATTTATTAAAAAATGAAATTGCATACCGAAATGGATATTTACAACGAGCTTTGAATATTTTTAAAAATGATCGAATTCTATCAGATCATCCATTCCATGAATATCAACAAATTTTAGCATAGAAATTCAAAGGCATCCATGTGTTTCTTTTTTTGCTCTACATTTATAGATGCTCAATTGGAAGCCATATAATCGAAAGTCAATTATATTAACTCAAGATGATAATATGAGCACAAGAAAATTCAGATTTGTATATTTTCTCATGCGCAGTGTTGATTATATCATAGTGACTATTGAGCTAAATTGTTTTTCATTCAATTGAACATGTCATTTCTATACAAATTATTCTATCGATTCAATGAGAAATCTCAAAGTAAGAAATGAACATTGTTAACAATCGAAATAAGATATTTATGAAATAATGCTGAGGTGATTAAACGTGACATAAAACAAAAACAAACATCATTGATGAGCCATTAAGTTTCAGAAAAGAAATTTGATAATAAAAAACGAAAAAAGTAGGACAAAATGAATACGATGGGATAACCCACGATCGATGGAATTATGAATATTATCCATAAAATAAATTGGATTTTATTCGAAATTAACTTGGAATGCTCTTCATTGATTGACATTTGAACAAAAAAAAGTAATATCGAAAAATTCACATAATTAAATCAACAAAATCCAACAATTTCTCTCATGATCAAACAACAGCAGGACCAACAGTAAAAGGATGTTGTGCGAGCCACTGATGTGTCGGTCGGCGAGAGGGATTTCTTTGTAAACAAGCGTGAAGAAGATTCTTGACCAGTGAAGAGCGAGTTGGTGGAATATTCGGCGGAGGATAGAAAGATTCGAGTAAAGGTGGAGTTCCGTATGTTAAAAAGTAAAGAATTGCACCGAGTGACCAAATATCAGCTTTTGATGTCACGGGATACTGACCAGATAAGCATTCGGGTCCACTGTAGAACCGTGTTCCGCCTATTAAATTTTGTCCTACGCCATATCTAAACGTATTTTAAAGTGAATACGAAGGATAAATCAACGAGAAATAATTTACCTGGAGATTTCCTTTTGAGCAATACCTAAATCGATCACTTTTAACAATGGGCCAAAAAAGACGAAATTCGCTGGTTTTAAATCTCGATGAACCTGAAAATAACGAAAGTGTCAATCGGAAAACAACTGAAATTGTCTTACAATATTATAATGATGAAGAACAAGAATAATATTAACTAATTGGATCCAAAAATGTTTTCGCTCTCTCGCTGGAATAAAATCATCTCCAATCATTGGTGATTTTAAACTACTTTGATACAGATTCGTCGCACGATCTTGTAAAGATTCTCCACCTAGTTCCATCGCTAATAATGCAACACGTCGTTGTGCATCGAAATCAAATCCATAAACATGAACAACATATCTTTCTGCACCACGCATTCGGTAAATCATCTGAACTTCATCTTGAAATGATTGAACCAATCGATTAACATTCATCCCTGGTCGCAAACGATTTAAATCAAAAACTTTTACCGCAGCACGATGACCTTGTGGAGTTGATGATGCCCATACGGATCCGAAGGCTCCACCACCACATCGATCGAGCAAAGTATACAATTGCTGACGAACACGAAACGTTTGGTTTTGTAACCAGAGATCTTCCGGAGGAATTGGTTTAGCTGAAAAATCTGTAGAGATCTGTAGAGAAATGTTTTAAGATTCTTTTCTGAAGCAAAATGTCTTACTTGAATTTGCCAATCGATTTCCCATAACTTTTTTGTGTTGTGATTCAATATTTTAGTATTTGACGCTAATGTAAGGAGAAAACGAAAGGAAATGATGTCATCGCATGTTATGATAAATAAGATGAAATTACCAAGTAAAGGTGAATGAAATTATTCAATCGAAAATATTTGTAGCTTTACCTGAAATATATGCTTTGATTAATATCGAAAACATGACATAACAGAAGACAAAATCGAATCTCAAGGACACTCATGGAGTGATCATTAGAGAATATAAGCTTGTAAACACTCAATCTTCAAACAATATAGACTGAATTAGTTCATTGATGGTTTGATAACCCCAGCTTAGAGGATATTGTCAATTCACAGTGATCAATATTAGTGCAAACTTATCACCGAAATGAACTAAAATATCAAATAATTGGTTGATGTTTTTCACAATTAGAGCATATGAGATAATAGGAGTTTTACCAGCCCAACCATTCCAATTTGAAGCATAGCTTGTCTGTAATGTTTGATTTATAATATTGAACAGACGACTTATGTTGTTCGTTATTGGACAATAGGGAGGTACTGGATTGATACCCATCTACATGTACCAATTCGGTGAATAACACTTGATTTCCCTTCTCATAATATATTGTTAGAATGTCGAATTCTAATGTATGTTGACTTAGTTGTCTCAACGAAACGCATTTTTTAACACAAAATACGCTTTATATACCAATCAAAGTTATTATCCGATGAGGATGTGGGCGTTGTAGCACACAGAGCATAGTGAAAGTGAAGGAGTGAGTATGTTGTTGGATGCAGAGCACGGAGGCTGGATCGCCTAAATTCCCGGAACCTGTGGTTTCCAAACTTTCACTTGGTATCTTGACAACCTTAGAAGGTTAGAACTCGAGCACTCGAATTCCTGTTATAAAACGTTTAATTCAAGATAGAAAATTATTGACTGTGCTCGACATACTTGATAAACTAAAATCAATGCGATAAAAGTGTTTTTTCCGCCTGTCGCTTTGATCAAAAGTTTTGTAAAATTTGTTTCAGTTAAAAGAATATTTTTGACAATGAAAACTACTTAAAAAATTATGCATGAGATTCAATAAGTGATTAGAGGCTTAGAATGTCATAAGTGTACTGAGTATGGAACAGCATCATTAAAGTCGTGCAATTATGTTATTATAGAAAAAATTGAGAATAAAGCCTGAACATACTATGTTATATATCATGTAATTATAAGCAGTAGCTAATTGAATAGCGTCTTAGAAATGAAACGATTGATATAGGTTTGAAAGTTTTGAAAAAAAATTTAACTGAAGTACAGACTACACCGTTAATTTATGAAATCTTTTTTTTTGTCAAATGAAAACTCACTAAAACACATTATAAATATACCGATAGCGCATTTTCTTCGATATATTACATAGATTAATTCTTTTAGTATAGAGATAATAATTGTAATTAATCAAAGTAGAGCTCGAACTCAGATTAAAATTTCATTGAGTACATAAAGTAAAATTGAAACTATAAAAAAAAGAACAACACATTATATATTTTACATAATGTCTACTATCTATTTTTAATAATAAAAAAACTGTAAAATACGAGCTTTCTTCTCAATTTGCTCATTATGTCTTTGAGCTAAAAAACAACATCCGTTACAAGTTTTAAAGCAAAATCTTTAAATTAAAATAAAAGTTTGTATCAACAATCATTTGAAATTTTGATTTTTACATTGATTATGTCTGAAAAAAACTATTTATCAATAATCACGGAGTCATGGTTTATTCCATTAGATATATTGATGATTATTTGTCTTGTATTTATTTTAATATCAGTTTCAATATTTTTAATAACAATTTCAATCGATAAAACATGTCATACAACTTCAATGATTCTTATTGCTAATTCATATTTTTCACAATTTGTGTTATCAATTGATCGATTTCTTATAACTATATTTGTATTAAATAATGATTTAAAACAAATATCCTATGAATATTTCTTATGTACACTTACAGGTTATATGACATATGTTTCCTGTGCAATACTTAATTATTCGTTTTTATTACAAGCATTTTATCGTTATGTTATAGCTGTTTATCCAACACGTTTATTTTGGCAAAGAAAACGAACTCAAATGTGTTTTATAATAATGACATGGTTATATGCAATTTTATTTCCTTCGATATTTATTTTTACGAATCAAATAAAATATAATATTGACAATCAAATATGTCAAATACCATTTAAACTATCAATATCAATGTTATTTGCTGCATTTTGTGTATATGTAATTCCAATTGCATTAACTTTATTTATTTATTATAAATTAGTTNTACTTGATGTGATTATGTAATGAGAAAAAGAAAGGAAATGATGTCACCGCGAGTGATGATCAATAAGATGAAATTACCAAGTAAAGGTGAATGAAATTATTCAATCGAAAATATTTGTAGCTTTACCTGAAATATATATTTTGATTAATATCGAAAACATGACATAAAAAAAGAAAAAAATCGAATCTCAAGGACACTCATAGAGTGATCATCAGAGAATATAAGCTTGTAAACGCTCAATCTTCAAACAATATAGACTGAATTAGTACATTGATGTTTTAATAACACCTATTTGGAGAATATTGTCTATTTACAGTGATTAATATTAGTGCAAACTTATCACCGAAATGAATAAGTTTAACAATTTTTCTTTTAATATATGAAATGTTTTTCATTGACAGAGTAAATTAATTCTGATATTTTAAGTATAACCAACAATGTGGTATGCAATAAAAGATCTGTATTCCTAATTAATGAACAGCAACTAAAATATCAAATAATTGGTTGATGTTTTTCACAATTAGAGCATATGAAGGAATGGAATTTTTACCAGCCGACCCATTCCAATTTGCAGCATAGGTTGTCTGTAATGTTTGATTTATAATATTGAACAGAAGACTTATGTTGTTCGTTATTGAACAATAAGGAGGTACTGAATTGATACCCATCCACATGTACCAATTCGGTGAATAACATTTGATTTCCCTTGTTATAATATGTTGTTAGAAGGGTGAGAATGTGGGTGTTGTAGCACACAGAGCATAGTGAAAGTGAAGGAGTGAGTATGTTGTTGGGTGCAGAACACGGAGATTAGACGAACTATCTGCCGACTGGGTAGACTACCTATATTCCCAGAACCTGTGGTTTCCAAACTTTCAGTTGGTACCTTGACAACCTTAGAGGTTTAGAACTCGAGTACTCGAATTTCTGTTATAAAACGTATAATTCAAGAAACTAAATTATTGATTGTGCTCAACATACTTGGTAATCTAAAATCAATGTGATACGAGTGTTTTTCCACCTGTCGCTTTGATCAAAAGTATTGTAAAATTTGTTTCAGTTAAAAGAATATTTTTGAAAATGAAAACTATTTTAAAAATTATGCATGAGATTCAATCAGTGATCAGAGACTTAATGTCATAAGTCTACTAAGTATGAAAAGAGATTTTGAAAAGATTGTTGATAAGTTCATCAAACATCATTAAAGTGGTGCAATTATGTTATTATAGAAAAAACTGAGAACAAAGTCTGAACTGCACACTATGCTATATATAATGTAATTATAAGCTGTAGCAAATTGAATATCGTATTAGAAATGAAACGATTGATATGCGTTTGAAAGTTTTGAAAAAAAATTGGATAAAATGCAGCTGTATATAGATCGAAATTATGACTACATCATTAATTTACTGAATCTGTTTTTTGTCAATGAAAACTCATTAAAACACATTATAAATATACCGACAGCGAATTTTCTTCTCTATATTACATAGATTAATTCTTTTGATATAGAGATAATGATTCTAATTATTCAAAACAGAGCTCGAACTCGGATTACAAATTTCATTGAGTACATAAAGTAAAATTAAAACTATAAAAAAAAGAACGATGCATTATATATTTTACGTCATTTCTACTATCTATTTTTAGTAAAAAAAACTGTAAAATATGAGCTTTCTTCTCCATTTGCCCACATTATATCTTTGAGCTAAAAAACAACATCCATTACAAATTTTAAAGCAAAATCTTTAAATTAAAATACAAGTTTATATCAACAATCATTTGAAATTTTGATTTCACATTAATTATGTCTGAAAACAATTCTTTATCGATAATCATAGAATCATGGTTTATTCCATTAGATATATTTATGATTATTTGTCTTATATTTATTTTAATATCAGTTTCAATATTTTTAATAACAATTTTAATCGATAAAACATGTCATACCACTTCAATGATTCTTATTTCTAATTCATATTTTTCACAATTTGTGTTATCAATTGATCGATTTCTTATAACTATATTTGTATTAAATAATGATTTAAAACAAATGTCCTATGAATATTTCTTATGTACACTTACAGGTTATATGACATATGTTTCCTGTGCAATACTTAATTATTCGTTTGTATTACAAGCATTCTATCGTTATGTTATAGTTGTTTATCCAACACGTTTATTTTGGCAAAGAAAACGAACTCAAATGTGTTTTATAATAATAACATGGTTATATGCAATTTTATTTCCCTTGATATTTATTTTTACGAATCAAATAAAATATAATATTGACAATCAAATATGTCAAATACCATTTAAACTATCAATATCAATGTTATTTGCTGCATTTTGTGTATATGTAATTCCAATTGCATTAACTTTATTTATTTATTATAAATTAGTTAATTATATACATGAAATGAATCAACGAAATATAAGTCTTAATAAATTATCTCGTGCTCAACTAGAATTAAGAATGTTTCGTCGTATAATAATAATTTTATCAATATTATTTACTCTTGATTTTCCTTATGCATTATTTATGTTTATGTCGTTTTTTAATCAAGCACCTAAATATCATTTTCGTATTGCTTATTTATTTGTTGATATGGCATCAATTTGTGTTATGATTGTTTTATTTCAGTTTACAGATCCATTGAAAAAATCAATTAAACAAAAGTTTTATATACGAACAGTAGCTGTTGTACCTTTCTTGAAATAGATCAGTCATTACAAATGAAAATAAAGGTTGACTGTAAAAATAAATGGTATTTATCAATATTATTTCTATTTGGAAAGAACATAAAAGGATTTTTTTAATCATAACTTTAAGAACAATGATGTTGTTATCCTTATAACTCATCTTTACTTATAACCATATAACAAAACGTGGTTCTGATCTATAGATCGAACGGAAACGTTATTTAAATTCCTTCTATACGATAGATTAAAATATATACTCTCTTTTATCTATTTGTGAATATTGAAACTTTTTCTTGAGAACAAGATAAAACTATAATTTGCCATGCAGTAGAATTAATCTTTCTCTTTTTAATCGAATTTTTTTTCTCCCTATTTTCTTTGTTTTGTTTTGAAGACGATGCTTCTACTCTTTGCTCGATTATATTCATATGTTTGACTCAAAGGTAAAATGTATTTCCAGCTGTCGTGTGTCATAGAGATGTCAAAATACCAAGACAATTGAGAATACCGTCATATTTCAGACAAGAAGAAACTGATGAGCCTTATATTGATTATATATTCTTCATATTTTCTATATTATAGAAATATTTTTATATGTTGTTAATATGTACAATTAAGAAATCTTATCCAAAACCCACGACACAAATAATTATAATTTGATAAATCTCAGAATCATTTATTATAAAGGCTTTAATTAAGTGCGGAAATCTGAAGTAAATCAATCTAAACTTAAAAACCTAAGCAATGATGCCTTTTTTACTTTTGTTGTCAGTTATGACATAAAATAAAATATAATACATGAAAAAGAGTTCGATACGAAATAGGTCATCGAGTTATGTATAGTCTACAATAGTATACAACAATATTGTGTAGACACACCAGAAAGAAATATTAAATGAAAGTTATTGATTTTTACTCAATGAGTATCAACTATGCATATATGCTCCAGGAACTTAATCATTGCCGATAACTACCGTTATCATTCATAATATATTTAGAATTGTTCTACATAAAAAGAAGTGACAAGACCTCTAGGCTTATGTTATATATATATCATCGTTTTATTATCATGTGGTGTAAGTCATGTTTGACGCAAGAAGGAACCTGAATAAAGTACAATCAGCTATTCTGTACATGATCATCTTTTCTTTCCTTTTTTCTAAATCGCTAAATTGGTAATCAAAGTAATAGATACGGTCAATGAAAACTTTAAACCATAGCAAATGTATCGTTCTGTGCAGTCTTCTCTTTATACAAGCTTTTTAAAGCAAGTGACAGGCTCAGTCAATTATATCACTTCACTCTACAACTGATAAAGGTCTCATGAATTCATCTCTCATAGGAACAAATTTATCGAAGAAATATTCGTCCGTTACGGATGATTGAACGATAGTTTCTCTTTCATCACAAACCTTGCCGCGGTGTGCACACAGATCAGCACTTGACCGATATACAGTTTGACGTTTTTTTGGCAGCTTCTGCCGATCTTGAGATTGTGTGAGGTGTTGCTAAAATTCTAGTCCGTTTTCGACTTTTTCTGAATAACAATATTGCCGGCTGCGCGTAGTCAGTGGCGTCTCATAACAAGGTCGATGAACGATAAGCAGCTCCCGTTAGCCAACTCTGTTATAGAAATCACAATGTTTTGGCATGTTCTGATCTAAGGTTTATATAGAATTGCACCTTACTGCAATGCATTCCGCTTCCCTCTAAAAAAAAAAGAGAAGTGTGTTTAGAGATGCAAAGCCATGGAAATTAATTGGATATTGACTGTATCTATTACTTTGATTACCAATTTAGCGATTTAGAAAAAAAGGAAAGAAAAGATGATCATGTACAGAATAGCTGATTGTACTTTATTCAGGTTCCTTCTTGCGTCAAACATGACTTACACCACATGATAATAAAACGATGATATATATATAACATAAGCCTAGAGGTCTTGTCACTTCTTTTTATGNAAAGCTTGAATTAGACAGGAATCTGAAATAGGGGAATGTAGAATTAAAAACCTAGATAGGGATGCGTTTTTTTACTTGTGTTATCAATTATGACATAAAACAAAATATAACAAAATGAAAAAAAGTTCGTTACGAAATAGGTCATCGAGTTATGTATAGTTTAGAATAATATACAACAATATTGCGTAGACACACAAGGAAGAAATATTAAATGAAAATTATTGCTTTTTACTCAATGAGTATCAACTACGCATATATGCTCCATGAACTTTATTATTGCCGAAAACTAACGTTATCAACCATAATATATTTAGAATTTTTTTGCATAAAAAGAAGTGCCAAGACCTTAAGGCTTATGTTATATATATATATATATCATCGTTTTATTATCATGTGGTGTAAGTCATGTTCGACGAAAGAAGGAACCTGAATAAAGTGCAGTCAGCTATTGTGTATATGATCATCTTTTCTTTCCTTTTTTTAAATCGCTAAATTAGTAATCAAAGTAATAGATACCGTATATGAAAACTTAAAAACTTAGCAATTGTATCGTTCTGTGCAGTCTTCTTTTTATACAAGCCTTTTTAAAGCAAGCGGTAGGCTCAATCAATTACATCACTTCACTCTACAACCCACAAAAATCTCATCAGCTCATCTCTCGTAGAAACGAATTTATCGAAGGAATATCGTCCGTTACGGAATTGAGTCTTTGAAAGTAGAATTTTTTATAGCTCGATATTTCGAGTGTTACTTATGATTGAACGATAGTTCTCTTTCATCGCAAACCTTGCCTCGGTGTGCACACAGATCAGCACTTGACCGATATATAGTTCGAAGTTCTTTTTGGCAGCTCCTGCCGATGTGGAGGCTGTGTGAGGTGTTGCTAAAATTCTAGTCCATTTTCGATATTTTCTGAATAACAGTGTTGCCAGTTACCTGCTAGATACGCTAGCATTTAGGGCTGCGCATAGTCAGTGGCGTCTCATAACAACATCTCCCGTTAGCCAACTCTGTTATAGAAATCACAATGTTTTGGTATGTTCGGATCTGAGGTTTATATAGAATTGCACCTTACTGCAATGTATTATTCCGCTTCCTCCTCGAAAAAGAGAAGGATGTTTAGAGATGCAAAACCATGGAAATTAATTAGATCTTGACTACCGCTACTGATTTCACATCGCATTTATGAAATTCCAACATGCTACCATCAAGAACAATGCCAATTAGCAAGATATCAGCTACATACATACTCTTTCCTATTGCTCAGTGATTTCTTCTTTTTGACCAATAGAAAGAAAGCAATGGAAAATACGATATTTTTCCAGAAATAATAAGCAGAATGTTTGGATTGTATAGTTTTCAAAGATCGAGGATTACGTCTGGGTGAGGGTCATACAAAAAATGCTGTTAGCTGTACTATATACTTATGTTAGTATTGAGAATCAAAAGGGAAACACGTAAATGCTGAAGAGCGAGAGATAATTGTAGGTGTGATGGATGAGTTTCATAAACACCTTTCTACATTGCTAACAATGAGCGCTTAAGTATTACTCCGTCGAGGTTTGAATATATTTCCAGGGTGGTTCTACGTGGCTAAACGTGATGCTCAAACGCTGGACTAGGGTAGATGCGGATTCTTAGCCCTACAATATCAGCTATGGCGGTTTCTCAAGTGCCATACTTCGAGCGTGAGGGTGAAGCCAACGGAAACGATGAACCTCCTTAGTTCTCAAATGTGTTAAATAAAACACCCTTCACATGATTAGTTTTCTATTGATTTTCGATGTGTATATTAGAAGAAAAGAAGTTAAATTGAGTCATATTTTACATGTATATAAAAACCAATGTATGGTGAAAATATATCCTAGCACATACGAAATCTCGACTGAAATTCATTACGAAAAAACAAGCACAGATTTTTAGAAAATCTCCGAGATGAAAGTTTCGTTTCAATACATAGCTATTTTCATGCTTCTACTTCAACAGAAGAGACTGATCAAAGGGAAAAGTTATAAAATCTGACTATCAGTTTAATTAGTGTGAATCTGGCACCAGAAAGCAAAACTACATATTTCTGAACCTCCTTGATGATTTAGGTAGGAGGAAAAACCCGATCTGTAGGCACAGCACAACATGAGGTCGTGAGCAAAAGCTCGGTACGTGGACAAAAGCCTTTTACGGTTTTAACTCCAAGAAGTGATGCCTCAATGAGGACTTTGTATGCCCATCAACTCTAGCTCAGCATCCTAGGCGTAAAGTACCGAATCACATTCTCTTCTAGTTTTTGCTAGCTCTTGCTATCACTGATATCATTACATGTTTCCATTAGACTGTCGTCTTGAACATCAGCTTCTTCAAAGACAATTCGTCGATATCCATTTCATCACCCGCTGGGTATCGACCAAATTCCTCCGAATTCTGGATACACTGTTGTCGGTTTTTAAACGGATACCCGGGGTAATGATATTATGACATCACTCATATAACGTAGAATTTGATTCTGCACTGCATAGTGATATTTTTATTGAGGGGAAACGATTGAGAAAGTTTTAAGTCAATCTTCCTGCGTTTGGATATAGAAGTAAAAACTCCAGATAAAACTGTCTCAATCTTTTCCCCTCAATGAAAAATGTCACTGTGCAGTGCAGAATCAAATTCTACGTCATATCAACTTATTTCCAAGGGCAGACATTCATTTGAACATAAGGTTTCGTATGATTTTTTGCTTTTTGGTGCCAGATTCACACTGATATTTTTCTCTGACCTAGATAATTGTGTTAATCATGATAAAAATATTTAATATTTATATTGTACGGAAATACTCCTTTTAACAGTCTGTTTGATAAATTTATTTTCTTCTTACTCACATATCATACTTCTATATCGTTATATCATATATTTTACTTTGTGAATTGATCTTTCTTTTATTTATTTCAGCAAACGAAATCATGAAATTTCAAATTTTCATTACATGGTTTTATCAAAAAATAGCTACTTATAACCTTTTTAAATTAAAAGAAGATGATTATGATGATAATATTCAAGATCAAACTATTATTATTAAACATCAGAAATGTAAAACTTGGTTATATATTATTTTATTGATAAGTAAAGATGATTTATGTTTTTTTACTTTTTTTGTTATTTATTTATTTTAGTTTGTTTTTATATTTTATTTTACATAAATTTAATTCAAATGTATTCAACAACAGTTATCGTATCGAACATAACGTTAGATACGTATAAGGAACTTTATTCTAAACATAGAAAAACACTTTTATGCTCATGCTCAACAATAACAATTCGTTATGAAAATTTTATTTCCAACAATATAACAAATCATCCGATTTGTTCAAGTATTTTTATCAAACCTGAATGGATATTTGCATTGTATTTTAAAGAAGCAAGTCAATACGGAGTTTGGGATTTTCGAACAACAGCATACTCACAAGTAAGTCGAACTTTTTAGTTTTTCTCAAATATATATTTTTATTTGAAATGTACCTATGATTGTTTGTATCTTTGTTTTCTAATTTCAGTTTAAACTTTTATCAAGCTTTTGTTCATTCTCAAAAGAAATCATTTCTCAAATACAGAATGAAATTAATAACAATGAACTTATTACTCTTTATCTTCTTTCTCTTCAACAATTTCAAACTGAAGTTAATGAAAGAACTGAATATTTTAAGAATAGTTCAACTTCTCGCATGATAACGTTTCTAAATTATTTAAAGAATACAAATAATAAACATTATTTTGTTTCTGCACTCAATACCAATCTCGTCGTTCAAACAGGTTATTACGAGCAAAATGACGATCGCTATTTTAAAGCGCGTGAAGTTAAGTATGGTGATGCTGAAGATGGTATGACATGCAATGAAGATTCACTAGTAACAAGAGTTGTTCTCAATCCATTGCCATACCAATCAATTCCTTATTCCATTAGACATCAGATAAAGCCGTTGCCTAATTCAATCATTGTTAATGGATTCTTTACAGGATGTACACCACTTGAAGCACTTCTACAAAGTAAATTAGATTGTCTTTATGAAGTCAAATGTCTTCAATTACTGGTAAATTATTTTCCAAAATTAACGGAAGTATGGGTTAAATGGTTTAATACTTTTCTAAATTTCTTTTTGTTTTTTTTTTCAATCTCTTTAGATTAATTTTAACCCAAATAATTCAGTTTTGTTTTCAGACGATAGAGATAAAACTGTCAATGAATATTTGAATAATCTTTTCATTACAAATTGGTCGATACAAGCCAACTATATAAATTATTTTCATATGTGTTCTCCATCGAAATGTACATACTCAACAATAGAACGAACAGAAATAGTTTATATAATTACCCTTTTCATTAGTCTTTATGGTGGTCTCATTATTATATTGCGTCTTATTGCGTCATTTTTTATTGATATCATAGTGAAATGCAAAACTTATTCGAAAAAGAGAAATGAAACTTTATCAAGTAATAGTTTATTTGAATTTCTATCCTATATTATGAATATTAATTAATACTTATTTAATTTCTAGGAGAACAAAGAATAAATAAATTTAAAATTGTTCAAACAATGAAAACATTGAATTTATTTAAGAATGTCAATCATCGAACAGAACAAAGCATTAAACACCAAAAATTAATCACACGTGTTTATTTGATTTTATTATTTGGTAAATTTTAGAAATCAAAAGTTCTTTTAAAGACTCAGAGTATATGTTATAGAAGTAGTGAGAATGACAATAGATCCTTTTCCTTCATGTTGCGTATTTTAGGGATCGGATCTCTCGATAACGAAATTCATGTCAAAGTTACACCCTTCCATATTTCTTTCATATATTTTCATTTCATTGTTTCAATTTAATATTCTAGGTTCAATATGTGCTGTTTGCTTATTTACATCATTAGAAAATACACTTCGGCTTATAACTAAAACGGACATATCAATGACATCTTATATTTCTTTGGAAGTTTTATATTCTGATACACTTCAATGTCCTTGTTCAAACAAAACAATACCTTATGGAAATTTTCTCTCATTAACACCACGTCTTCATCAAATATGTTCGAGTCGTTTTGTTTTTGCTGGTTGGATTACATTGTTAAGAAACGGCTTCATACTTTACGATACCCATGATTGGCGCAGTTATGCATATTTACAATTTCAATTTTTATCTGATTTTTGTGATTTAGCTAGTAAAACGATCGATGATGCCGTAGTTCGATACCTTTCTCAATTATTCATTGCCTCTTCTGTGTTGAATGAAACTAAATTTAACGAACAAATCAATACAAATCTCGATCAATTTTATCAATCAATAACCTATAATTTTGCTTTTATGACAGATGTTTTACGACTATTGATTCAAATTGATCAATTATATGCAAAATCATTCAAATTACTATTTGGACAGAATCATGATATCAATTTAGTAAACGACGTTATTACAGATAAAAGAAATTTAGCTAAACCAGTCAAGGTATGTTAATTATTTTCATAAATAAATGAAGTAACGATTATCTTACGGATTCATCGTAACATCTTCGTGCAACTTTTGTGCTCGGCATATTTAGTAGAACCTACTTTTCAAGTGTTTATATAGATTTGTTCTATTTTCTTTTTAGTTATATTTTCTACTAAATGAAATTGAAGAAATTAATTTAACAACAATCAAATGTACTTGTGCCATAAATCCATATTGTCAAATACCAGCCGTTATATATGATACAGATTATTTTACTCATCAAAGATCGATTCATTATATGCCTGGTTGGAATCGACAATGTCTTGCTATTGATTCGACTCTATCTTCATCATTTCAATGTTTATATGAAGATTTAGACTGCTTTCCATTCTTCTTGACTTCTCTCTCCAAATTTCTTCAAAATGATCATCTTGAAAATTATTTACCATTTGATTTTGGTCCAATGACTTATAATTCAACAATGACTAGATTTTCATCACACGCAAATATTTCAAAGTTATTCAAAGAAATTATGATTGAAAAATGGAATTCATCTGTATCCTATCAATCATTTTATAAGTCTTGTGCACCAAATTATTGTACTTATTCTCTACCAATGCGGAGACATAATTTTCTTCAAGTGATCATAACCTTAATATCCGTAATTGGTGGTATCATATTTTCATTAAGATTTGTCACACCTTATCTCATTACACTTTTTCTTAAATTATTGATAAAATTGAAGAAAAACAGTCAACAACAACAAAGAAATGAAGGTAAATTATGATGAATTGTATTGGAGTTTTATTATTTAATTTCTTTCGAATATATATACATATGTTTATTTCTCTTTAGTTCATCAAAGTTGTTTCAATCGAATTCAAATTCTAATGCAAAAAACGATTAAGTTATTTTCAACAACATTAACTGAATTAAATATATTTTCTTCTCGCGATTTTGACAATAATACTGATCAAATGACTGCTAAAAAATATGGTCAATGGGCAACGCGTCTTTATATTTTATTATTTCTTAGTAGTATAACGATTCTTATTTTCTATACAATTATCCAGCCACGTAATGTAACAAAAGCTTTCTATCAGCCATTATTTAGTTTTTATGAAAAATTACAAAAAATTTATCTGAATGAATTAAAATGTTCATGTACACGAATAGCATCAAAATATAAGGAATTTGTCGAAATTACACCAATATTTCATCCAGTAAGAGAAGATTTTTATAAATAAAAAATGTAAAGAATTTTGTTAATCTATTTATACTTATATATATTTATAGATATGTTCAAGTCAATTCGTATCGAAAGAATGGTATAATAATATAACAAATAATCTTTCTTTTAATTTATCTATTTATTCCCAAAATGATTATCGTCGATTTCTCCCTTCTCATTTACAATATCTTCAAGGTTTGTGTCAACTTTCGAAAGAATCAGTTCAAAATACTATTAATGAATTTCTTATATCAATATTGATTACTGTTGAACTTTTGACGGAAGAACAATTTCGTCATCGTATTGCAACTTTAATTAAACAAAATCAGTTGAAAATTTCCTTTTTATTGAATCGTTTTCTTTTTATAATTCAAACTGTCAACCATGGAAATGCTTTTATGACAACATATCAAACAAATTTTCAATATATTTCGTTGATGAATTCTAATCATCCAAGTTATGCATATACCGAAGCAATGATTTATGATAAAAATTGTTCATGTGGTTTATATTCAAATTGTACAACTCAAGCTATTTTTATTGAAAATTCAACAAGAAATTCAATTCAAGGTTTGAAAATGGGATGTTTACCAAGTGAATCATTTCAATTATCGACTCTTGAATGTTTTTATAATCAAACATGTCTTAATCTTATTCATCAATATACCAACACAGAAAATATTTCAATATCTCTTTCAACAAATTTTAGTTCTTTTTTACCAAATACAACAATAAATGAATTAATTAATCATTCATTTACAGAAAAATGGTTAAGAAACATAAGTTATTCATCATATTATAATCAATGTTTACCATCATTATGTTCATTTACTGATAGTGAAAAATTTAATATTCAATATNTGCACCTTACTGCAATGCATTCCGCTTCCCTCTAAAAAAAAAAGAGAAGTGTGTTTAGAGATGCAAAGCCATGGAAATTAATTGGATATTGACTACCGCTACTGACTTCACATCTCATTTATTAATTTCCAACATGCTCCCATTAAGAACAATGCCAATTAGCAAGATATCAGCTACGTACATACCCTTTCCTATCGCTCATTGATTTCTTCTTTTTGATCAATAGAAAGAAAGCAATAGAAAATACGATATTTTTCCAGAAATAATAAGCATAATCAAAGGTCGAGGGTGACGTCTTGTCTGGATGGGGTCATACAAAACATGCTGTTCTATGTGCTTATGTTAGTATTAAGGAGCGAGAGATAATTGTAGGTGTGATGGATGAGCTCCATGTACTAATGTGTGGTCCTATGTGGCTAAACGTGATTCTCAAACGCTGGACTAGAGTAGATGCGGGTGAAGCCAGTGGAAACAATGAACCTCCTTAGTGATCAAATGTTTTAAATAAAACGTCCTCTACATGATAAATTTTCTATTGATTTTCTATGTGTATATCAGAAAGAAACGAAGCTGAAATGAGTCATATTTTAAATGGATATCAAAACCAATGTATGGTGAAAATATATCCCAGCACATACGAAATACCGACTGGAATTCATTACGAAAAAATAAACACTAATTTTTAGTTTTAAACTACATAGATCTTTAGAAAACAATTAGTGTGAATCTGGCACCAGAAAACAAAAACTTCTACAAAACCTTATGTTCGAATGAATGTCTGCCCTTGGAAATAAGTTGATATGACGTAGAATTTGATTCTGCATCGCATAGTGATCTTTTTTATTGAGGGGAAACGATTGGGAAAGTTTTTATCTGGAGTTTTTACTTCTATATCCAAACGCATAGAAAGATTGACGTAAAACTTTCTCAATCGTTTCCCCTCAATAAAAAAGATCACTATGCGATGTAGAATCAAATTCTACGTCATATCAACTTATTTCCAAGGGCAGACATTCATTCGAACATAAGGTTTTGTAGGAGCTTTTGTCTTCTGGTGCCAGATTCACACTGATGTTTTTCTCTGACCTAGAAATTGTGTTAATCATGATAAAAATATTTAATATTTATATTCTACGGAAATACTCTTTTTAACAATCTGTTTGATAAATTTATTTTCTTTTCACTCACATATCGTACTTTGTGAATTGATCTTCAAATGTTCATTTATCTTTCTTTTATTTGTTTCAGTAAAAGAAATCATGAAATTTCCAATTTTCATTACTTGGTTTTATCAAAAAATAGCTACTTATAACCTTTTTATATTAAAAGAAGATGATTATGATGATAATATTCAAGATCAAACTATTATTATTAAACATCAAAAATGTAAAACTTGGTTATATATTATTTTATTGATAAGTAAAGATGATTTTGTTTGTTTTTTATTCTTTTGTTATTAATTTCATTCTGCGTTTGAGAAATGATTTCTTTTGAGAATGAACAAAAGCTTGATAAAAGTTTAAACTGAAATTAAAAATCAAAGATACAAACAACCATAAGTACATCTCAAATAAAAATATATTTGAGAAAATCTAATAAGTNTTACTCTTTTTCTTAGTCTTCAAGGTGGTTTAACATTAGTTTTAAAATGGATTTGTCCGAAATTCATTCGAATTATGACAAAAATTTATAGTTATTATCAAGAAAGACAAAGAAACTCAATTCATCCTGATAATTCACTTATAATATCAAGAAATAATATTTCTTTACAGTAATGAAAATGATCTTTTATTAATAATTAAACATCGATTTTTTTTATTTAGACAAAGAATTATTTCACCAGTTCAATATAATTTCAAGATGATTTTGAAAATTTCATCAATATTAATGTTATTACTCATATCTATAATTATCTTTTCAATTTATTATGCTCGAAATAGTAAGATTCATATACTTTAAAGATAAATATTCAACAATAAAATACATTATTTCTCTTCAATAGCTTCAATATCCAATAAAATAATAGATAAAGATAAAAATACAACAACAATGACGCCAATATCTTTAAGTACAACAGGTGAGAAGAATTTCTTTTTTACATTTAAAAATATATTCTCTAAATATTTTAGTCTATATTTTATAAAATTATTTTTATTTCTTTTAGAATTATTTTCTGAAAATAAATTTCAACAGATATCAACCGATATTTTTTGTTCTAACCATGGAACGATTGTCTTACGAATGGTTATTGGTGATTTTAATAATGATGATCAAACTGATTTCATATTTCCTTGTAAATTTACAGAAAATATTGAAATAATGTTACTATTAAATAATGGAAATAGCACATTTCAAAATTCGATCATTTTCTTATTATCGAATTCTGAACAAATACAATCTATTCACATTGTAGATTTTAATAATGATCATCGATCTGATATAAGTGTAATTCATGGAAATGAAATGAATAAAAAACTAACAATTCTATTAAACAATGGTAATAAAACATTTCATAATTCGACAACATTTTTATTGGAAAAATTTTACCGAATACATGATGTCCATCTTGCTGATTTTAATAACGATAATCAATATGATATATTATTAACACGGAGTATTATATCAAAAGAAAATTTGGTTGTTTTATTAGGGAGTAATGAAGGAAGATTTCAGAAACAAATTACCGTATCATGTACAATATTCAGTTTCCTTATGGGACGTACGAAAGTACATGATTTTAATAATGATGATATACTGGATATTGTTCTAGATTTTGAAGCAGATAAAAATATTGGTATTATGTGGGGCTTAGGAAATGGATCATTTTCAACAGAATTTTTATTATTTAAAAAAGAGAGTATTACTTTTTTACAGAATTTAGCAGTTACTGATGTTAATAATGATGATTATCTTGATATTATTGTATATGAAAAAGATTCTAAACATATATATGTTTTATTTGGAAATATAAATGGAACATTTCAAATACGAAAATCATTATTTACTATCATTATGTTTAGTTATTATACATTTCAAGTAATTGGTGATTTTGATAATGATAATCGATCTGATATTGTTTTTATTTATAATGATTTTGAATATATTGAATGTACAATTTATTACTATCATAACAATAAATTTACAAAATATGAAAAGATTAGCATTGAAAATATTGGATATATCAATTCAGTTACTGTTCATGATCTTAATAATGATAATTATTTAGATCTAATTTTTGACATGCAAGATCAAAATATTTATGTTCTATTTGGATATGGAAATAAGCAATTTTATTTTAAACCGATTTATTGGAATAAATTTCCCACTAATCGTAAATGGATGATTATCACTGATTTTAATGATGATAAATATGATGATATCATCGTCGATGTGAATTCTCAAACTATTGATGTTCTCCTTAGTGAACGCGAATTTCTCATAAACTAAGATGAGAAATCATTAAAATTAACTTAGCTCGTGTATTTTACATGCTTTATGACACATCTTACAGTTTATTCTTTTAAGATATTTCTAATTTTACCTCTCATGTTTCTCTTTTTGGTGTTATGATGAAAAGGTTAATAAATCAGCCATTCTGAGAAATCAAGTAACTTTCCCGCATTTGTTTTGTATAAGATATAGTGAAACGACAATAATTCGATTTTCTATATAATCAAATGTATTTTGATACTAAGATTTTGATGTGTCGTTTAGAAAATTTAATTAATATAAGATAATAATTAAATTATGAATTGATGTGATGATAACGTTTAGAGATTGCACATGCATTTTATTGTGGTCAGTTATTAATCTAAGGGAAACATATATACATAGGAATAGCTTCTCGATATCGACTTAATTTATTTCAAATTTCCACAGAAAAAAGAACTTAGTATCTATCTTCTACCTATATAAAGAAGAAAGTTTGTCTGTCTGTTTGTTCGCTATGCATTCAGTCCCTGTAATAGCTATTGCCACCAAGCATTCCACAATACTTCCTAAGGTCCAGAGAAAGGTTGACATCCACTTTTTTCCGAAAACAAATAAACGAGGCACTTGCAACAGGGAATCTACGAAACCGACCAATAGGATTGCGAGATTTCCAAAATTGAGAAAATTAATAGCGAAGGCCGTCTGAGCGCTGACAGACAATAATCCACATGTTCTCTACGTCTATGATAGTTCGGCGAATGCTATAGATAATCTGCGAAACTCACCAATAGCGTTACAGGATCTCAAAAGATTAAGATAAATGTTGAGGGTGGGTGAATTCGAAGAATATAAGGTATGAAATGACGTGAGAGTGAGAAAGAGGTCGATGAATGAATAGCTGGAGTGGAAAATGAATATCAGAGAAAGGGAAAATTTTCATAATTTCTGAGGCAGAAATTAGATTCGGTAACTCTTTTGCATAAAAAGATATAGCCGAAACTGCCATTTTATGCGATGCACGACGGGAAAATAAGGACTGGAAGCGTAGAAAATTGAATTATACTGATTTTCTACCTGTTATAGATCTTCAACACGTGAGATGTTCGACATAGATATTTCTTATTTGTAGAGGGTACTCCCTCTAGTGCTACCTATTTATTGAACCTTCCAAAATAGAAATCATTGTCTTTATAGAACAATTATTTATTCGGAAAGAACATTTTGATCTTCTCTATGTGATGTCAACGATCCAAATTGTCCGGTATTAAGTAGAAAAGACAATCAATGTTATCATTTTCAATAATATTTTCTCAGGAACAGCTTTTTTTATTAAAAACTAATGGATTATATTCTCTACTTATTGTTCTGAGCCAATCATTTTGTTTATCATTATAGGAAACAGCTAAATTGGCTACATGTATATGAACAAAATTTCGAAAGAATTCAAGACACTATTGAATTTTTCTAGGTAAACGGTTATTTAAAAAGAATGAATATATAAATAACAAGTAGAACTCGTCGAGACTGACTCGCGTCACGATCAACTGATTTGGTAACTGAAGATATAAGTCGTTATGTGCACTACACATTAAAAAAGTACAAAATCATGTTCCTAGAAATGATTTCGCAAACATCTCAGTTTAAAGAAACTAATTTAAGCGCTATTACCGTTTCTCTTACTCATGAGAGTTTTATTGAAAATCACTGCTCACTTCGAGCGACAGTTTGCTTTAAATGGATATTATGATTCTTGTATCTTAAAAGATGTCTTCTTTTTTCTTAATAGCACGAGGAATGCAGTGACGTAAGATGAGAATCCTTATAAATTTCAAAGCAGTATTTGCCAGAATGTTTTGTTTATGCAGAAGAACACGCTCCACAGCTCTCCGAATTTTATTAAATAAGACGCCCAATTCAACAGATTCATCCATCACTTACAAAGGATCTTGTCAAATCACAATCTGTTTCGTTCTGTCTACGATCATTGCTCTTCTTCTCTATTTTCTTACAGTTCATGACGAGTAACTCTTACGGCTCAAGCTGTGACTCATTACAATAACCAATAAAAAAAACAATTTATACAATAATTTTCCGCTTACCTTTTTTATGTTAACGCAGGCAGAAACTCAAAAAACAGATTCATATTCTTCCTCTCACCCTTTACAGATTCGAAAACAAAAGATCACGAACTAAACCGGTCGGAACCGACCGGGCCACAATGACGTGGGTAAGTCATAAATTACCCTACTTGTTTCGCAATTAACGCTCATCTAAATGATAGAAAGCATCAAATCTGCAACAATTAAACAATTTGGAAAAGACATTGGAGCGCAAAATAGCTAATCTTTGAATTCGAAAACAAATCTCCTGTAATGTTAAATAATGCTTCAATACAAATAATGGCGAGAGGAGTATATGAGTAACCGAAGGCATCCGCATTATTTAGGATTTCACAGTTCAAGGATATTCTCCTCGTATAGAACCTGCGACTTATTCTAAATTAGGATTGCTGACATCTCTTCGGTAATAATTAACCATCACCACTCCTCTTCATCGTATATCTCAAGTGAATAATGGATCAGGTGAGACAGAATGTCGGCGGAGTCAATACCAGCGGAACATTAAGAAATGCGATAGAAAGTGTAGAACAATTTAAATATCTAGGCGGTTTGTCAAGGTGAGATAATAACTGTTCAGAACAAATGAAAAAGGAGAATAGAAAAAGCGACTGATGCAATCTCCCGGGACCAAAATGTAGTTAAAGAAAGGAAGCCATATTGCGCGCTCATAATACATTATCTAAGAAATAGGCATACATTAGTGCATAGACGATTTAAAATGCTACATAAGTGTATGTGTCGAGGATTCATTTCAATCTTGTTTAAGTCGTTTTCTGTTTTAAACAAAAGTGATAAAAAATGACTCGTTTTAGTGATGTTGAACGTCTTCAAATAATAATGGAGCGACAAAGAGGTGCAAAGAAATTAGAAACAATTGCACGACAGCATCAAAGCACATGCTCAATTACGGAGGGTGATATGGTGGACTAGAAAAACATTTAGTAGATACAATGGTTATATGGATTCATTATTGTATCAACAACTACTAACCGCACACCTTATACCGCATATACCAAATCATCGTCGCCGCACTTTTTATCAGGATAATATTCCGTTACATAAAACACCACCTATGTTAACATGGTTTGAAGAGAATCGATCAGAATTTGTTGATGCTCCTGGTTATCCGCCCTAATTTAATGCAATTGAATATGTGTGGTCTTGGCTTGAGAATTACGTTCAAAGACAACAACCAAAAACGAACTTGAACAAGCTATTAACAATGGTTGTGATGCTATTCCTCAAAAGGTCATCCAGTCATACATCTTACATCGACCTGTCCAAGCGTGACGGAATCACGTTTTTTCCTCATCTCTCTTTCATATCTTAACGAATTTCAATCTGTTAGAGTTGATTGCTTCTATAAGATATATATGCTAATCTGCCCTACACATTCCCAAAGTTTCGTCAGATTTCGTTCTTCTTTTATAAATTTAAAATTGAAAACTATGCCCGTGACGGAATCAGCAAAAATAGTAATGCGTTTCCANATATGGAATCTCATCTTACACCACTGCATGCCTCGTGCTATTAAGAAAAGGAAAATAAATCAGCCATTCTGAGAAATAAAATAACTTTTCCATATTTTATTTGTTTATGACATAGTGAAACGACAATGATTCGATTTTCTATATAATCAAAGATATTTCGATACCAAGATTTTGATGTGTCGTTTAGAAAATTTAATTAGTATAAGATAATAATTGAATTATGAAATGATGTGATGATAAAGTTTAGAGATTGCACATGCATTTTATTGTAGTCACCTATTAATCCAAGGAAAACATATATACATAGGAATAGCTTCTCGACATCGGCTTCATTTATTTCAAATTCACACAGAAAAAGATGTTAGTATGCTATGTATTTATTGAATCTTCCAAAATAGAAATCATTGTCTCTATAGAACAATTATTTATTCAGAAAGAATATTTTGACCTTCTATATGTGATGTCAATGATCCAAATTGTCCGATATTAAGTAGAAAAGAAAATCAATGATGTCATTTTCGATAATATTTTCTCAGGACCAGATTTTTTTTATTAAAAACTAGTAGATTATATTTTCTACTTACAGTTCGGAATCAATTATTTTGTTTATCAGTACGGTGAACGGCTAAATTGGTCATATCTATCTGAACCAAAATTTTGAAGAAATCCAGGACACCACTGAATTTTTCTGGGCAAACGGTTATTTAAAAAGAATGAATATATAAATAACAAGTAGTACTTGTCGAGACTGACCCGCTTCACAACCAACTGAATTGATAACTGCAGATTTAACAGCTTTTATATGCACTTTACATTAAAAAGTAAAAAATCATGTCCCTATAAATGATTTCTTAATCATCTCACAGTTTGAAAAACTAACTCAAGCGCTATTACCCTTTCTCTTACTCATGAGAGTTTTATTGAAAATCACTGCTCATATGGAGCGACAGTTTTTTTTTCTTTAAAAGGATATTATTATTCTTGTGCCTTTAAACATATTTTCCTTTTCTTAATAGCACGAGGCATGCAGTGGTGTAAGATGAGATTCCATATAAATTTCAAATCAGTATGTACCAGAATGTTTTGTTTATCTAGGAGAACACGCTCCACAGCTCTCCGAATTTTATTAAATAAGACGCCCAATTCAACAGATTCATCCATCACTTACAAAGGATCTTGTCAAGTCACAATCTGTTTCGTTTAGTCTATGATCATTGCTTTCCTTCTCTATATTCTTACAGTTGACGACGAGTCACTTTTAAGGCTTCAACTGTGCTTCATTACACTAACTAATAAAATAACGCAGACAGAAGCTCAAAAAATAGATTCATATTCTTCCTCTCACCCTTTGCATATTCGAAAACAAAAAAAATCATGAACTAAACTGGTCGGAACCGACCGGGTCACAATAACGTGGGTAAGTCATAAATGACCCTATTCGCTTCGCAAATAACACTCACCTAAATGATAGAAAACATCAAGCCTGCAACAATAAACAAATTGGACCAAGACATTGGAGCGCAAAATAGCTAATCTTTAAATTCGATAACAAATCTTCTGTAATGTTAAACAATGCTTCAATACAAATGATAGCGAGAGCAGCATATGAGTACCCGAGGGTATCCGAATAATCAACTCCATGCCAATCACAGGTTCGGATAAAGGAAAAGTATTAGACGAAAGGGGTGCAAACACCGCCGTTTATAAAAAGAACGTGATGAACGAAACCAACCATAAATAATGACTGAGCCGAAAATTTGATGACTGGAAAGAAATCTGATGCGACGAAATACACGCAAAAACTAAAACTTGCCAAAAATACTCTGGCAGTAGAAACATGGAATATGCAGGAAGCGTGAACTGTAACTGAACTAGGACTGCTTACAAATGAAATCAAACGATTTAGATACGACATAATTGGTATTTCAGAAGTTCGATGGACAGGAAAAGGTGAAACATCGACAAGAGATTTCATCTGGTCAGGGGAAGCGTTCTTACCTGTGAAGGAAGTGGAGTTATTACTAAGTATTAAAGCGAAAAAGTCATTAATAGGATAAAATTCAATCAGCTCACGAATAATTTCAGCACGATTCGACGCAGCACCTCTCAAAAGTTCAGTCATACACGCATACTCCTCATCTTCAGAAAAAGATATTGGATGCATTCTATAACGATGTCGAAAGAAGTTTTGTCAAGTAGAAATAAAAGAGATATAATTATCCTAACAGCACATTGCAACGCTAAAATTAGTAACGATAATACAGACTGCATATCAGCAACGGGAAAATACGGATAGGGCGGTCGAAACCAACGCGGAGAACGCCTATTAGAATTTGCTACAGCGCACAATCTCTAAATATGTAATACAGGATTTGGACATAAATCAAACGGAAAGTGGGTGGACTTGGGCATCGCCAGATGGTATTCATAAGAGTACGATTGACTTGAGACTCATCCAGAGAAGGTGGAAGACCCCAGTCACCAACTGTCGAACGTCTCAGAATGCAGACATAAACTCCGATCGTTTGCGAATGTTGGACTTAAAGGTGAAAAAATAAAGCAATCATATAGTGCCGCTCTAGTGAAGCAGCCTGAAAAGATGGAGCAGTCTTTCAAAACCGTAGTAGAGACAGTTGTACCAATAAAAGGAGTACCTAAAAAACCCGGAATTTCAGACGAGATACTAAAATTAGCTGATTCAAACAGTTGAAACACGTTACCTTCGAATGAAGGCCTACGTAGGAAAGTCAAGAGATCGGCAAGGCCGGACAAAGAGCAAAGTATTGCAAAAACACAAGAGAAGCATATGGTCTCCTAAAAATGCTATGTAGAGAAGTCGTACCTTGCTTAAATGTTATACGAACTCAAGAGGGGATGATGAAAGACCTTGAAGACAGCGCACATCCTGAAAATGGGGTTCGTGAGGACATCATGTGCTCAGAAGTACAAGCAGCGATAAGTTCATTAAAAAGAAATCAGAGCCAGGATCGGAGGACGTAATAGGGGAAATCCAAAAACTATGTAACAAAGTATGTTAGGAAGGTACAACTCCAGATGAACGGGACAAATTTGCTTTGGTCCTCATCCCCATTCTCAAGAACAGACAGGATTCGGGCAAGACAGGAGTACTGCACAGCAAATATTAACGCTTAGACTTCTAGCTGAGAAGCAAAAACACAGGGCAAGAAAATACACAACTGATTCATAGATTTTCAAAAAGCATTCGATACGACTAAACATAAAATACTTGAGCCGTGCTAAAATTCTATGATGCTAGAGCAAAGATGGTCACCTCGCTTCAAAAATCTTTACGAAAAGTCATAGTCAGCGTTTCGCATTGATTTACAGTACGGATGATGGTTTCGGGCAGATGTAGGGACTAGACAATGCGATTCTCCAACACCACTCCTCTTCATCGTATATCTCAAGCGAATAATGGATCGGGTAAGACAGAACATCGGCGGAATCAATACCAGCGGAACATTAAGAAATACGATAGAAAACGTAGAACAATTTGAATATCTAGACGGTATGCGGACGTGAGATAATAACTGCTCAGAAGAAATCAAAAAGAAGAATAGAAAAGGCGACAGATGCAATCTTTCGAGGCCAAAATGAAGTTAAAGAAAGGAAGCCACATTGCGCGCTCATAATACTTTAGTGCATAGACGACTTAAAACACTACAGAAGTGTATATATAGGGAAATCGTTTCAATCTTGATTAATTCGTTTTCTGTTTTAAACAAAAGTGGCCAAAAATGACCCATTTTAGTGATGTTGAACGTCTTCAAGTAATAATGGAGCAAAAAAGAGACTGAAAGAAATTAGAAACAGCTGCACGACAACATCAGAAACATGAACTCTAAAAGAAGTAGGCAGACAAAACCATTGGTTTTCGAAATGAAATGCTAATAACGAATTCTAAGAATAAATTGGTAAGATATGATACGAAGAGAAGACACCAGAGAAAGGCTATCAAGAGAGGAGACTATAGTTTACATCATCAGGAAGAGAAGGGTGAGGTTATTTGGTCACATCTATAGGATGGACGACCGTAGAATATTAAAACGTCTAGCGTTCGGTAAAATAGAGGACAACATTAGGCGAAGGCGTTCATGCAGAGAATGGTTAGATAACATATCTTACGTAACATTATCAACATTTTGTACAGCAATCAACATCATTATATGCGCGCATACCTAAAGCCGTCAGGAAACAAATATCTATTATTTACTAGCCGCACCTGTCTATCGTTACTAAATAACCCCTTAGTTACTTTTTTGAAGTTACGTAACTCCGGAGTAAAGTAACTGTGTCACTTCTAATCACGAGTATAAATGTAAAGTAATTGTGATAGCTATTAGACACAATGCCGTTGATAAAACAGCAATATGACAAAAATCTTTTTTTAATTATTGATTCATTTACTGAAAGATTCATCTGTATGAAAACTTTTTTAATGATTATTAACGCATGTCTAGATAAATTTCTTTTTCTATGTTTCTAAACTCATCCAATATCACAAGAGAAAATGCCCCATATGTTACACGTCCACTAATGTAATTATTATAGTTTTATCAAATTTCCAACATCTTACTGTTTAATTTCTTTTCGCTTTTCAGTTCTAATTAATTTAACATAGAATGAGATAAATACAACTGAACTAAATATTAAAATTGATCGATATATTTGGAAGGGAATTTTTTTGAATATTGCCTATGATTTTGATCTGTTCATGAGTTATTCTTCTGTCAGATGATAATCTGAAGATAGGCTGACATTTATATTTATTAAAATATTATATGTCGGATACACAATTCATTCCAAACATTTAATAAAAAAAAGTATTTTCTTTTCTCATTCTATTTCGGTAGGATACTTTCTATGGCAAAAAAGGAGAAATTTTCATTGAAAGAAGTACATTATTTATGAAATAGGTTTAACAATGCTTTTCGAAACACTTTTCCACCAGTTAATGTGTAAATATAGAATGGCATTCCCGAAGCAACATTTAAAAAAAGAAGAAGTAAATTAAAAATAAAACTTTCAACCGTAATTTGTAATGTTGATTTCAATATGTCTCTTGTTAATGTTGAATACAGTTTTGATATAGCGAATGGTAATGTAAGTACAAGAATAAGTATAACTTGAACGAAAAGCATATATAATAGACGTCGATCAGTTTTTCTTTGTCGATTTAATTGTGTAACATTGACAAATACGGGATTTAGAATTCCACCACTATTCGAAATTCCTATACTTTCCACGTATAAACGTGATTGTGAGCGGCGTACATTCAAAATAATCATTCGGCCAAAGATAAACATCAATAATAATGGAATCAGAACAGTAATTAATGCAAACGATAAATCTGATAGAATACCACATGTTACTGTTTTGGAATAACATTTCAATGGAGTATATGTAAGATTGGCTTCATAACAGAAGATTTGTTGAATCTGTAAAAGGCTTGAAATAATCACAAGAAGAATGATACTACGTTGTGCATTTTTCAATGTACTCCGAAGTCGGTAATTAACGTTTATACTTGAACAACACCATCGATCAAGAGTTGCTAATGCAATAAGCCAAAAGGCGATAGTTAATGTATTGAAATAAATATAAATACGAAGTTTGCAAATAAATTGATTTGTATTTCCCAAATCTGCATTCCAAGTTGCTAAAAATCGAGGAAATACGCCAGCACATAAACTCATAAAATAAAAAATCGATGAAGTAAGAAATAAAAATGAACAAGGATTTGAACGAAGTGGACGTTGTGAGAGAACGAGTACATTTAGAATATTACCAATAATTCCAAAAAGAAAAATAGGAAATGCCAAATAACGGTTTAATTGAAAAGAAATATTGTTTAATGATGAAACGAGACTTGCATCCACTGTTGACGATGACATCTTATAACTAAAAGCGAAACAACCAATTTTCTTTTTTTATTGAATTAAATTCCAGTAAAATGATTTTTTTATACTTTAGTTGATGTCTTATAGAATCTTTGTAAGTAGGATCATCGACTCTTTGACAAATATAAATGACATTTTCCTTTCGATGATGTACTATCTCATATTTTCCCCTTGCAAATGTCATATAGTGTAGTGTTAGAAAAAGAAACATGATTAAAGTCATCAAAAGAGATTAAACTATTCTGCCTTCATAAATATCACAGTTGCTATTAAGATTTTAAGAGGTAGCCCATGGCTTAATCGAGCATTCTTGTATATCGCCGTCGTACAAAATTTTTGCATCCCCTTTTTCGAGTATTGTAAATGAAAGAGCATGTAAAAAACAGGGAAATCTAGAGTCTTACGAGGGAGGTACTCGAAGCGTCCACTCGCCGTACAACTCATATTTTGACCACAGGCAGACCTCAATGAAACTAGTAGAAAGCCAAAACGATTGGTGCGCATGGTTCCGTAGTCAAAAGTTATGACTACCTTATCGTTGATACGAAATATGTGATCAAGAGTCTGAAAATTATTTCTGGAAATCGTTTGATTCGAATAGTAACTTTTCCCAACAGTAGCACCATGTCGCCCAGTGTATATCTGCACTCCCTTTCGTTTTTTGTTGTGTAGTGGTCACAAAATGAATGTGATGAGTAATACGTAGGTCTGCTAGATTATGTTTATTTCTTGATTCACTCGCAAAATTAAATGATAAACACCGTGTGTCTGACAACTATATTCGCTAATCGTATTGCGAAAAAAAGACTCGTATTGTCCTTCGAGTAACAATCACGAGCAGAAGCTCGTCGATCATACTTTTGATGGAAGTGAGAACGAGGAAGATCGTGAAGACGACGCGTTATTGACAACATTCTCTCTGGAATACATGGAAAACGTTGTGATCTTCTATGACGCAATCGACGAAGCGACCGGAAAACGATATCTTGGCCGCTTTCGCAAATATTCGGAAGATCATGGCACGAAAAAGCAAAAAGCAGATGATGTCGTTACGTTTGTATTTGAAAGATTCGAAGCGCCTCGTGAAAATCGTCTTCCCATCCACGACATCGATCTCAAACGCTTGGCTCTATAGAGAGCACAATGACAGTCACTCCTCGAACTCGAAGCCTCGAAACATTGGATTACTACTTTCAAACACCATCACGGTAAAAATTGAACAGACAGCTTCTCGATTTCTCAAAGAAGCCAAAGTCGAAATGTAGGAACATAGCCCCACAGAAATCATGAATACCGGCGAAATTGGATTGGAAAAGGAGCTGCATTCCACACGGACGTTGAGATATTAAGGTGAAAAATTGACAATGGCCGCTGTTAAGTCTAAAAATGCCATCACCCATTATTATACTTTGCCATCAATGATCAGTCAGGCCGGCGAAGTAGTAGGACCAATTTACCTATGTCTCAGGGAACCCAACGAACGGATAAGCGAGAATGATTTTGCAAATATGGAGTGACGTCGAAATATACAAGAAAGTGCCAGGTTGCAACCATTCGATGTGTTCTACAATCGGCAGATGAAATCAATAGTACATCTCGTTTATGATCGTGTAATTCTCGGCCAACTGTCAATTTCTATGAGTACACGAGATAATATCATTCGCCCAGTTTCGCTCACGCACAATCAAATGTCTGCGAAAGTTTTCAAGGGTCTAATTGGCTACGCGTGGTTTGACAGCGACTATGTCCACAAACATCCCGGGATCTTCAAAACGGTTCATGAAGTATGCTTTGACAATTACACGACCACTTGCCAGGTCACGAACTGTGACCAATTCCCTTTTAGTCGTTGCAGCTGGCGCGAGAAGAGCTTATACTTCAACCATTTTTTTGTAGAATACTATTTTCATCAGTGATATTTCATTTAATATATATTATTGTATATGACTAGTTAAAAAATTCGAGATGAAGTATATTAGAAAGTTTCCAGTAATCGAGGCTTGGCATTCATTAAAAAAAANTATAATATAACCGGGTAACCACACAAGTAAATGAATGAGATTAGCCAATGACATAACTATCAAATAGAAGGCACAGGAACTTTCTCGAAATGTTCGAAGACTTAAAAATACGATGAGGCTTAATAATCCACCGAGAACACCAAGTATAAAAGTTGGAATACATGAATAGATTACGTAGGATATCCTAGCTCTCGATTCGAGTATTTCCAAGCCCAATTCGTCTGTGAGATCATTTCAACTATATCAAGAATCCTCTCAGTTAACAGCAAAAGGAGTATCCATTCTAAAAGATAGATACACGCGAATCTGATTACTCGAAATTTGCTTTAAAAAAAGGACAATGTTAAAATTCATTGTGCATTGTTTCGTTTCCTACATCCTCGATTGAAAACTATATATATCCAGTTGAAATCTTCAACTTTGAGAACCTGACTGATGAAAATAAGAAGATTGATTGCGTGATCTGAACTGAAGATATCTACTTCGCTCAACACATGCATTGAAAGAATATAATAGATGAATTTTTGGGTTTTATGGACCGGACAAACTTTGGAAAAAAGTTTTTAGCTTACACACAGTTTCTTTGTGCTAGCTCCTTCGTCCTAGCTTCACACTGATAAAAAAAAACTTAGAAATTTGATATTCATCTTGTTTCTCAGCTAAGTTAGCTGTTTTTTATTCAAGATAATTAAAACTAGATGGCACCTAGACTTCGTGCGAAATACGAGAATGAGGTACGGAAGCATTTGCTTCCTTCACTCTGTAACAGGACTGAGTATGTCATATCATATCGCACGCTCTCTCAACTGGAAATCGTATGTCTAAATGAATTTGCCGCCTAACTTTCTTTCTCAAAACTTCGCTGTAATTATTTCGAAAAAATTAACAATCAAATTCATCATTTTTAGGAACATTTTGTATTCGAACGGAAGGTCATAATTGAATTTTGAAAACTGATGATTTTTAGTTTAGTCTCGATATTTTACTCTTTCATTTGAATAATTTCTTGTTGCTTAGTTTCGTCATTGACATATTACCGTGTTAATGAACATCATATGGTATAATATATCGATAACTTGCTTCAACTTGTGTTGATATAATCATCATGATGATAAAAACTACGTTGGATAATAAATAATTCATCTAAAGATATCGTGTAAATATTATAATAAACACAAAAAAACGCTCGTCAAGAGTGACTCGCTTCTCTCTTGACTGAAATGTGTAGACATATTATATGAGGTTTTGAATATTTTAGTGGAAAGCTTTTTCCAGGTATATGACGTATAGAAAATAATTTTTTCTTTGCCAATTAGATAAGTATCATAGAACCAGCCGGGGCAGAAAAGCGTGATTTTTCCGGCATATGTTTACTTCGAAAATACATAGTGCACCAACAGATGGTGATAGAATCGATTTCACTCATGTATGTACACATAGATTGGATATACTAACGTCGTAGAGATGATTTCTCTCGATTAGAAAATTATTTTTATATTGAATTACATATGATTAGATTCAGAATTGAATCTAGGTACTCAAGAACCTGCTGACCCAAGGCGATGTTTCCGGAATCCGGATCCGTCCGGAACTCTAACGATCCTAGGTCTTTTCCCGCATCTCCCTGCAGGTTCCATACGAGCTCGCAACGTATCCCGCAGGAAAAACACACGGAAAGTGGAAGCAGTATTCCTGCAGGAATTTCTCGAAAGCGAAACCTTCAAAATACCGCAATTTCCGCCACAGGGAAAATATACCGGCTCCTCCAGGAAAGCAAAGGAAATACTATAAGATCCCCCGGAAACCACCGGAAACCACCGGAAATGAACGGAGAGTCTTCGTTTCCCAGAAATCAACTCCATCCTCAACTCACAACCATTCTAACGATTTTTCCAAATTAGATAAAAGCAACCTATAACGATTTTTTTCAAATTCTAATAAGCATTAGAAAAATCCTAAAAGCATCCTAATGTCATCCTATGATGACTTTTTTTAAATTCTACTAAGCATTAGAAAAATCCTAAAAGCATCCTAAGGTCATTCTATGATGACTTTTTTTAAATTCTACTAAGCATTAGAAAAATCCTAAAAGCATCCTAATGTCATTCTATGATGACTTTTTTTAAATTCTACTAAGCATTAGAAAAATCCTAAAAGCATCCTAATGTCATCCTATGATGACTTTTTTTAAATTCTACTAAGCGTTAGAAAAAATCCTAAAAGTATGCTATGATGTATTTGTTGGTGATGGATGCAAAGGCGATTTAAATCGCCTTTCCATCACTCCCATGATTTGGGATGATGGCGAGGAAAGTGCAGGAAATGCGACGAATAGCACCTGTATATATACCACTGACTTCTGCAAAACAAAGCGGTGAGTATGTCGTCGACGGATGCAAAGGGGATTTAAATCGGTTTGCGATCATGGATGTGAGGAGTGGCGGAAAATCAGATTTGATGTAGATAATATGGTGAAACATTGGTTTAAAAGGCTTTGTTTAAATTGATTGATAATGGAGTATGTTAAAGATAATGCACTAAAATCGACGAAATGTTGTTGTGGTATCCACCTAAACTAGCGATGGTTTCGGGAAAACACATATTGTCGAAGGTTAAGCAATTTTGGCAAGGGAAATATCTGCATCGCGTTTATAGCAGGGTTTAATGGAATTATAAAGTTCTTAAATGGTGTTGTTGGAATTCATTTTTCATTAGTTTTCTCGTATGAAAACTGATTCTCGCAACTTTTTCACATTGACAGGCGGATTGCAATTTGAAGAATGAGTGAAAAGATATGTGTGAGTAATTTGTAATATGGTGACTTAGTGCTTATGGTAGATAGGTAGTACCGGTATGCAGGACGACCTGTCCAAGCGTGACGGAATCACGTTTTTTCCTCATCTCTCTTTCATATCTTAACGAATTTCAATCTGTTAGAGTTGATTGCTTCTATAAGATATATATGCTAATCTGCCCTACACATTCCCAAAGTTTCGTCAGATTTCGTTCTTCTTTTATAAATTTAAAATTGAAAACTATGCCCGTGACGGAATCAGCAAAAATGGTAATGCGTTTGCAGTAGTATATCAAGAATTGCAAAGTTTAGCGAAACTACACTTGTAACAGAAAACCTTTGTATACAAATGTTAGAGTATCTGGCACTAGTTGTATGCATACACAAACATAATTATGGTATATAAGAATATGGTCACATAATTCAAAAAACATTTCGTGACGGAATCACTATCTTGCGTGGCGGAATCACCGTTTAAAAAAGTTGAAAATTAGTTGCTTTTTTTTACTCTAAGCTTAAAGATAAGTTTATTGAAGTTGAGATAAAGCATCATGTGAGATAAAATAATCAATAAAACAGCTTCTACGAGCTTTAACAACATAAAAGTATCACTCCTTTGTTAATAAGAAAATAGAAATAGAACTAAATATATACATATGTGTTTTGTTAATTCTGTACAAAAAATCGATTCAATAATGTAATATTCAAACATAAAATAAGTATTTTCAAGAGAGAAGACTGCAAAAAACTATTAAAAGCGAAATACATACGTCTCTTCTCTAGTCGAGTATAAAGCATATTCAATAATGTCTTTGTATAAAACCTTTATATGATGTTGTTGGCGAAGATTTGGTACGCTAACAGTTTTTTCGAAAGGTTTCTCGAGTAATCTACGAGTTGTATCGAATTGAACTTGTTGTACAAAACCAACAATAATTGTTGTCGTCTTTCGATGGCAAACATCAACAAAATCTTTGGCAGATGTAACACGAGCACCAGCCAAAATCTCGAACCAAACAAGTCTCTTTAGTGTACCACCTATTGAATCGACAATGCCCTTCCCATGTGATGAACTGAAATAATTCCAGCTAATGTTGAGATCGGTTTTGTCCATAATATTCGTTAGGTGTTGTAAAATATAACGGTTCTTAAACTGAGATGACGCACCGTCTGAAAAGAAAATAATTTCCTGAACATCAGGCATAATACTTGTGATTTCGTCGATTAAAATTTCCAAGCAAGTAATGACCGAATATTTGTTGTGATCGGTCGAGTTTGAAACAAAACCAAAGGAAAAACCCTCACCGCCACTACCACCCATCCACGCATATGCTGTAAATATAGATACTTGTTTCTTGGACCAATGTGCTGATTGTATTTGATCTTGATGTTGCAGTGTAAAGTTTTCGGCGTAGTCCACCTGACATACTACAGTTGAATCACCTGCATTATCTTTTATATATTCAAAGTATGTACTCTGCTTTCGCTTTACGAAAACATGTGAGAGATATTGAGGTGTTTTACTTTGTAAAACTTTGACACATTGAAGCACTGTCCCTGAAAAGACACCATGCATATCTCATAAAAAAGAAAAAGGGAATTTATTTTACCTGAAAATTCTTGTTTTTCAACTCGACCTGTAGACGTAATCCATTGATACCATTTAATTGATTTTTTCTTATCCAAAATGTTTGTCAGAATATGATTTTTGAAATTTTGTTTGCATTGTCGACAGCGAGACATCATACAAGCTTCAATATCTGGTTTACACACCATTTTTTATGTAAATTCAGCCAAATCATTTCGTAAACCATTGATTTCTTTTGACAGTACATTCAATATGAGATTAATATTCTCATGTATTACACATAAACAGGCTCTATGTGCTAGAGTTTTTTTGTATAGAATATACTTTGGACGTAATTTTGCAAAAGAAGACCGACTAATTGACACACCTAGTTAATAAAAAAATTAAATTACTCCGTTGAAGGAATGTTGGAAAAGAGTGGTAAATAAAAGGTGATTAATCTTTCGGTAAGTAACATCTCACTACTACTGAATAGATACTAGTTTTAGTTTATTTTAAATCATTGGTGAAAATTTCAAAGTTACAGTCTATTTTCTTACCAGGATGTTCTTGCATGAACAATTCATATACTTCTCGTATATTGTATAATAAATGTTTTTTTTGATATTTCACTTTAATGCCATTTTCTTTAACAACTTTAACATCACGTTTACCAGGTGCTTGCCATGATATCGAATCCAGTTTATAAAAATCTTGAACCAATTTTACAACTGAATTTGGTATTTTTGATTGTACTCGCACATTTTTCTTCTTGATGTTAAACCTAAATCTTCATTAATACGTTGTAATACCTGCTTTTGCTGGCTAACATTCTTTGGTAGCACACGTATAACTTTTTTCACCGCTTTCGCAAGTGTTTGTTTTGTTTTATATAAAGAACTAAAAGGACAAAAATAAGCTTGAAAAACGCTTTTGAATAGTATTACTTAGATGTCATTCCATTCATAGCTGCTGCTTTCTTTTTTTTCGATGACGTGCTTGTGCTTCTAGGTGATCTTTCATATATTTTTCTTTCTGCTGTTTGGTCATCGATGCTTGTTTTCGAGCTTTTCGTTGGCGATCCTTTTCTTTTAATTCTTCGTATTTATTTGCGTTAAGCTTCAGTTTATCTCTATATCTTTTTGATCGTTGAGCTGCCGTTAAAACCATTTAAGATAAAATTAGTTGATATATTTCATGAAAGTTAAAAATGTGATATGTACAGATTTTGAGAAGTTTGGATACAGTTTCAGTTGTTTTATAGAAAGTTAGGTTTAATATTTACAAAATTAATGCTATGCTCATTATATGATTATCTCTTCTTGAATGAATATAATTATAAGGTTGATTTTCAGTTGTACAACGGTTTAATCACTAGTATATTCATATACGCTTGAATAGTATTGGTTATTTTATATACAAGTTAGAAAGAAACGAAAAAAATAGCATTATTTGATTGGTGGATTTATTTCAATACTATAAAAAGAACAGAACCATGACAATGAGATTACTGAAATCAATTATTTCTAGTACAACGTGTGTATTTTGAATTTTTTTCTTTGAAGCAACTTTTTTGTTATAAGAACATTGTCATAATGCAACATTTTGTATTGATCAGTAAGATGCTTAAGTCATCTCAACACCTTGAATAATAATAAGTATGGCAAAATATTTAAAAAAAGAGTTTTTTGCTAATTCATGTAAAATAAGTTACTACATATCAGTGATTCCGTCACGCCATTTCTAAGTAGCTTGGATGATTTTTAAAAAGGCATCTAGTGCATCTTACAGAGCATCAAAAACTAGCGTTAGAACACCTGTAGACGAAATCGAAACTTGAGTGACTGAAGCAAGCGAGGAATTAAAGAGTATTTTCCGTGACGGAATCACACTGCAAAATGCACTACTTTATCAAAGTCAATATCTTGGTCTAGAAACAGTGAAGCTCAGATTTTTTTTCACAAATGAAGGGTACATGTATGTTGTATGTTCATCACATAATCAACTTTATAAATAATAATAACTATAGATAAAAAAACGTTAGACCTTTATTGAGATCTATTTCTTATATATTAATGATCCTACGAGGGCTTCTCGTGTCGATAAGTTTTTTTAAACGACAGATGCACCCTCAGAGTTAAAAAGTGTGATTTCTGATGCTATCGATGATGCTCTACAACGTGCGTATATTGGTTTTGTCAAATTGAATATATCGATTTTCCTCACGCTGGTGGACCGTTACGTGGACAGGTCGACATATGTTAACTGTTATGCAAGATATTATCAATGATTAAATTGATTTTTTTTTGTACTTGACATATTCCTGTATTTATCCATATTGAAAGTTCGAAATAAATGTACTTCCATATGTAGATATAATTGTTTGATCTTTTAACTTTCCTTTAGCTCCGAGAGAACGGCTTCTCTGAATCACATATGATGTAGCAAGAAACTGAAGATAGAAAATAAGCTTAGAATCTTAAACACATGTGCGTTTAGCGCCCTATTATACGCATCAGAAACATGAACTCTAAAAGAAGTAGGCAGGAACAAACTATTGGTTTTCGAAATGAAATGCTAACAACGAATTCTAAGAATAAATTGACAAGATATGATGCGAAAAGAAGAAACTGGAGAACGGAGACTATAGTAGACACCATCAGGAAGAGAAAGTTACGGTTATTTGGTCGAATCTGTAGGATGGACGACCGTAGAATATTACAACATTCAGTGTTCGGTAAAATAGAGGGCAACTTTATGTGAAGGCGTTTATGCAGAGAATGGTTAGATGAGATATCCTACGTAACATTATCAACATTTTGTACAGCGACCAAAATCATTATATGCGCATACTTAAAGCCGTCCGGAAACGAATATCTGTTATTTACTAGCCATCTGACTATTGTCACTAAAGAACCTCTTAATTACTTAGTTATCGATAACTTAGTAACTAAAACGTTACTTTTTTGAAGTTACGTAACTCCGGAGTAAAATAACTGTGTCACAAAAAAACACCAATATGACTAAAATCTTTTTTTTATTATTGATTCATTTACTGAAAGATTCATCTCTATGAAAATTTTTTAATGACTATTAACGCATGTCTAAATAAATTTATTTTTCTAAACTCATTCAGTATCACAAGAGAAAATGCCCCGTATGTTACACGTCTACCAATGTAATTATTATAGTTTTATCAAATTTTCAACATCTTTCTGTTTAATTTCTTTTTGCTTTTCATTTCTGATTAATTTAACACGAAATGAAATAAATACCACTGAACTAAATATTGAAATTTATCGATATATTTTGAAGGGAATTTTCTTGAATATTACCTGTGATTTTGATCTGTTTATGAGTTATTCTTCTATCAGATGATAATCTGAAGATAGACTGACACTTATATTTATTTAAATACTAAATATCGGATGCACGATTCGTTCCAAAATTTAATTTAGAAAAAAGTATTTTCTTTTTCCATTCCATTTCGGTAGGAAAGTTTCTATGGCAAAAAGGTGAAATCTTCATTGATATGAATACATTATTTATGAAATAGGTTTAACAACGCTTTTCGAAACACTTTTCCACCAGTTAATGTGTAAATATAGAATGGCATTCCCGAAGCAACATTTAAAAAAAGAAGAAATAAATTAAAAATAAAACTTTCAATCGTAATTTGTAATGTTGATTTCAATATGTCTCTTGTTAATGTTGAATACAGTTTTGATATAGCGAACGGTAATGTAAGTACAAGAATAAATATAACTTGAACGAAAAGCATAGATAATAGCCGTCGATCAGTTTTTCTTCGTTGATTTAATTGTCTGACATTGACAAATACGGGATTTAGAATTCCACTACTATTCGACATTGCTATACCTTCGACATATAAACGTGATTGTGAGTAGCGTACATTCAAAATAATCATTCGACCAAAGATAAACATCAATAATAATGGAATTAGGACAGTAATTAATGCAAACGATAAATCTGATAGAATACCACATGTTACTGTTTTGGAATAACATTTCAATGGAGTATATGTAAGATTGGCTTCATAACAGAAGATTTGTTGGATTTGTAAAAGACTGGAAATAATCACAAGAAGACTGATACCACGTTGTGCATTTTTCAGTGTACTCCAATGTCGGTAACTAACCTTTATACTTGAACAACCCCATCGACCAAGAGTTGCTAATGTAATAAGCCAAAAGGCAATAGTTAATGTATTGAAATAAATATAAATACGAAGTTTGCAAATAAATTGATTTGTATTTCACAAATCTGCATTCCAAGTTGATAAAAATCGAGGAAAAACGCCAACACATAAACTCATAAAATAAAAAATCGATGAAGTAAGAAATAAAAATGAATAAGGATTTGAACGAAGTGGGCGTTGTGAAAGAACGAGTACATTCAGAATATTACCAATAATTCCAAATAGAAAAATAGGAAATGCTAAATAACGGTTTAATTGAAAAGAAATATTGTTTAATGATGAAACGAGACTTGCGTCTACTGTTGACGATGACATATTATAACTAAAAGCGAAATAACCAATTTTCTTTTTTTTTATTGAATTTAATTCCAGTAAAATGATTCTTTTATATTTTAGTTGATGTCTTATAGAATGCTTGTAAGTAGGATAATCGACTCTTTGATAAATACAAATGACATTTTTCTTTCGATGATATACTATCTCATATTTTCCCCTTGCGAATGTCATATAGTATAGCGTGAAAAAAAGAAACCTGATTAAATTCATCGAAAGAGATAAAACTATTCTGTCTTCATAAATGTCACAATTGACATTAAGATTTCAAGAGGCAGCCCATGGCTTAATCGAGCATTCTTGTATATTGCCGTCATACAATTTTTTTATCCTCTTTTATGAGTATCGTAAATGAAAGAGCATGTAGAAAACAGAAATCCACGGTCTTACGAGGAAGATACCCGAAGTGGCCATTCGCTGTACAGCTCATATTTTGACCACAGGTTGACCTCAATGGAACTAGTAGGAAACCAAACGGATTTGTGCTCACGGTTCCGTAGTCAAAAGTTATGACTACTTCATCGATGATACAAAATATGTGACTAAGAGCCTGAAAATTATTTCCGGAAATCTTTTGATTTGAATAGTAACTTTTCCCAACAATAGCACCGTCTCGCCCAATGTATATCTGAGCTCCCTTTCGTTTCTATTCTGTAGTGGTCACAAAATGAATGTGATGAGTATTACGTAGGTCTGCTAGATTATGTTTATTTCTTCATTCACTCGCAAAAGTAAAATGATAAACACCGTGTGTCTGACAACTATGTTTGTTGATCGTATTGCGAAAAAAAGATTCGTATTGTCCTTCGGGTAACATTCATGACCAGAAGTTCGCCGATCAGTTATATCAAATATTTGCAGGCATTGCAACAAGTTTATCATAGCAAGTAGAAGACGACGCGTTATTGACAACGTTCTCTTTGGAATACATAGAAAACGTTGTGAACTTCTATGACACAATCGACGAAGCGGCTCGTGGAAATCGTCTTCCCATCTACGACATCGATCTCAAACGCTTGGCTCTACAGAAATCACAATGGCAGTCACTCCTCGAATTCGAAGCCTCGAAACATTGGATTACTACTTTTAAACACCATCAGGGTATGTCTCTCGAAAAATTACGAAGTTCGTTACAAAACATGCCCTCAATGGTACTGAGGAAATTGAACAGACAGCTGCTCGATTTCTCAAAGAAGCCAAAGCCGAAATGTAGGACTATAGCCCCACAGAAATCATGAATACCGGCGAAATTGGATTGGAAAAGAAGCTGCGTTCCATTCGGACGTTGAGTTTTCAAGGTGAAAAATTGACAATAACCGCTGTCATGTCTAAAAATGCCATGACCCATTCTTATACTTTGCAGCCAATGATCAATCAGGCCGGTGAAGTAGTAGCACCAATTTACCTATGTCTCAGGGAACCCAACTGACGGAAAAACGAGAGTGAGTTTGCAAATATGTTTTTCCGTCTTCAGATTAAAGTTTCCTAGACGTTCGCGCACAATCAAATGTCTGCGAAAGCTTTCAACGGTCTAATTCGCTACGCGTGGTTTGACAGCAACTATGTCGACGAACATCCCGGAATCTTCAAAACGGTTCATGAAGTATGTTTTGACAATCACACAACTACCTGCCGCAGGTCACGAACTGTGACCAATTCCCTTTTAGTCGTTGCAGCTGGCGCGAGAAGAGCTTATACTTCAACCATTTTTTTGTAGAATATTATTTTCATTAGTGATATTTCATTTAATATATATTATTGTATATGACTAGTTAAAAAATTCGAGATGAAGTATATTAGAAAGTTTTCAGAAACCGAGGCTTGGCATTCATAAAAAAAAACTTAGGAGCACGATATTTGTTGGTTATAGTAGGATACAATAGTTACTTCAGAAAGAGTTACTATTCAAATCAAAAGATTTCCGGAAATAATTTTCAGGCTCTTAGTCACATATTTTGTATCAACGATGAAGTGGTCATAACTTTTGACTACGGGACCGTGGGCAGAAATCCGTTTGGTTTCCTACTAATTCCATTGAGGTCAACCTGTGGTCAAAATATGAACTGTACAGCGAGTGGCCACTTCAGGTACCTCTCTCGTAAGTCAAATATTGTCTTTATTCATCTCTGAGGTACAAATATGACAAAAAAAGCTCTATAGTAAGAAATATTTGGACAATTGTATTGTTTCATTCGTGGAAATATATATCGATGAAAAAAACTTTCATAGCTACTCTTTTCATTGATTATAATGCAATTAAGTGTAACGAAAGAAAAAAAACGTGATCTACCTGTGTGTTCGCATCTCTATAGGTTTTTGTTGCGTATCGAGATATACGTAAATATACTTTTTATTGATCATGGGAGAAAAAGAGATACAGAAAAAAACAATCGGTGTTCTATGATCAATAAATATATACACTAATGTATTACCTGAAAATATTTTATTTCGACTCGAAAAACGAATTTCTAAATCACCTAATTCAATAACGATCAAGTAAGAAATATCAATTGAGAAAAAACATATCATTTTATATTTAAAAATATTTTGCTTTAGATTGTATTCATTCCAATGAACAAATCATCGAATTGTGTACAAAGTAAAAAATTTGACATTTCACGTTATTCGTATGTTTTCATTCTTTTCTTAAAATTCATTTTACTTATTTTTTTCTTTATTTGAAGACAAGGCTCTTCTTCCAGAATGTTAAACAACCTGCTTCCAATTTTGATGGCTATCTTATGTATAATGATTATAATCACCGCAATTATCATTATTTGTTTTACTACACCAAAATCTGAAGGTTATTGTTTTACTTCCAATAAACATAGAAATTAAATAGAGAATTTTCTTTAATTTGCTTTTCTAGTGAAAAAATGTGAACTCAATTTTGTACGGAGGAATTCAAATCCAATTGAATATAATTATGGTCCACAAGCAGTTTCTTTGGGAGATTTAAATAACGATTCGTGGATGGATATGGTTATTGTTAATTCATTCGTGAATCAAATTGATATTTATTTTGGATTAAATGATGAAACATTTTCAAAAGAATTTTCGTATTCAACTGGAATTTCTTCAAACCCAATAATGTCTGCTGTTAATGATCTGAATAAGGATTCCTATTTAGATATTGTAGTAGCTAATTATGGAAGGCATTCAATTGGAATATTCTATGGATATGGTAATGGATCATTTGAAAATCAAATTGAAATATCTACTGGGAAATCAAGGCCAATATACATACATTTAATTGATATGAACAATGATACATTCATAGATATTCTTGTTATTAATTATGGTACAAATAGTTTTACGATTTTTTATGGAAATTTAAATGAATTTTATTCAAATTCGATTACTTATTCGACTGCCTATGATTCTCATCCATATTCATTAGCCGTTGAAGACTTAAATAATGATCGGAAATTAGATATTGTCATAGCGAATTATGGTACAAATAATATTGGAATATTCTATACGAATCATAATAATTTGTTTGAAGATCAAGTGATAATTTCAACTGGAATAAATTCTCATCCAACTTCCGTAGCTGTTGCAGATCTTAATTCTGATCATCAACTTGATATTGTTATAACAAATTCTGGCACAAATGAGATATGTGTTATGTTAAACGATGGCGAAGGAACATTTTCAAAAAATGAGTTTTATTCTACAGGTTCTATTTCTCCATATTCAATTGGTGTTGATGATTTTAACGATGATGATTATCTTGATTTATTTATTATTAATATTGGAGAAAATAATACTGGATTATTTCTTGGATATGGAAATGGAAGTTTTCAAAAAGCAATAATGCAATCAACTGGATCATCTTCCTCAATTTCATTTGTTTTATATGATTTAAATAAAGATCATCGATTAGATGCAATTATTGTTAATAATGATACAGGAAATATTAATGTTCTTCATGGATATTTTGAAGGTTTTTCATATATAAACTATTTTAATATAAATACTTCTTCAAGATTTATAATAAATCATGATTTAAATCATGATTTTATATTAGACTTGATCATTCTTGGTTATAATAGTGATATAATGATTATTGCTCTTGGATCTAAGGATGGATCATTTTCATATGAAAGAGCGTATGCATCGGGAGTTAATCCATATGCAGCAGCTGTTGGAGATTTTAATAATGATACTAATGTTGATATAGTTATTGTTAATTTTGGTAGTAATGATATTTATATTTTTTTCGGAAAAGGTGATGGAATTTTTTCGAGTCCAATCATATTTACAACTGATCCATCGCCAGTATTTGTAGCTGTTAATGATTTCGATCAAGATAATCGACTAGATATTGTAGTTACCAGTTCTAGTAACAATACAATAAGTGTCTTTTTAGGTTATGGCAATGGTTCTTTTGCACCAGGTGTAAGATATTCAACTAAAAAAGGACCACAAATTATAGCTATACGTGATATGAATAATGATCATTATCTTGATATAATTGTTACTAATTACTTTGACAATAGTATCAGTATTTTCTATGGATTTGGTAATGGAAGTTTTGCACAACAAATGGCATATCCAAGTGGCAGTGGTCCGTATTTTGTAGCCGTTGCTGATTTTAATCACGATACTTACATGGACATTGTTGTTACTTTGTATGATAGTCAAACTGTAAGTGTTTGTCTAGGATACAGAAATAGTTCTTTCGGAAAACAAGTTACATATGGAGTTGGTACTGTTCCAGTATATGTAGAAATTGCTGACATGAATAATGATACACATTTAGATCTTGTGGTTAGTTGTTGGTATGTGGATGATATCTATATTTTATTTGGATACGGAGATGGTTCATTTGATAATGCAGTATCATATTCTACAAACTCGTTTTCATTTACTGTTACTATTGCAGATTTTAATCATGATAAACGACTAGACATCATCGTATCAAATACAGATGATAGTTTTACAGGTATACTACTTCAAGATAATCGCGGTTCTTTGAAAAATCAATTGACTTATGCATCGGGTGGAAGTTCAAAATTACGATCAATGATAATAAATGATATAAATAATGACACTCATTTAGATATAATAACTGCTAATTATGGTAGTGATGATCTAACACTTCTTTTTGGTTATGATAATATGAATTTTCATGATGAAATAAAGATTCAATTAAATACAAATTCTCATCCATCAGCAATGATTTATGGTGATTTTAATAATGATCAACAAATCGACCTTGCTGTTGCTCTTGCTGGTTCAAATCAAATTGGGATATTACTTGGAAATGGACAGGGTTCATTTATCCGCCAAGAAATTTATCAAGATCCTTCATTATCTGCTCCTTTCTTCATTTCTAGTGGTGATTTTAATAGCGATGGACAACTAGAAATTGTTGTTGCATATGTTGACACGGATACAATTAATTTGTTTGATACATTTAATACTGGATCCTTTAAATTAGCACAGAAATATTTAGTTGGTTCAAATCCACAATATGTAGTCTTAGATTACCTTAATAATGATAGTTACATTGATATTGTTGTCATTAATACAGATTCAAATGATATGAGTATTCTTTATGGACAAGGAAATGGGAATTTTTCAAATGCAGAAATATATCCATCAGGTACTCGTCCATTATCTGTTGCAGTTGGCGATTTTAACCAAGATAATCGATTAGACTTAGTTGTTACAAATGACGATAGGGCCACATTTAATATATTCTTGGCAACGGAAAACGATAGTTTTTCTGATCCAATGATTTATTCAGTTGTCTCTGGTACATTGCATGTAGCAGTGGGGGATTTTAATGAAGACAATCGATTAGATCTTGCTGTAATTAGTTTCAATGAACATATTATTCTATTTGGAGGACTCGGTAATGGTTCATTATTTTCATATGAAATTATTAATCAAACTGGATATAACCCATACTTTGTGATTGTAGCTGACTTCAATAATGATTCTCATTTAGATCTTGCTGTTGCCAATTATGATCCTGATAATATTGGTATTTTTCTTGGTTATGGAAATGGTTCTTTTAGTCAACAACGAACATATTCGGTTGATTCCAATCCGTATGCATTAGCGATTGGAGATCTAAATCATGATTATCGACTGGATATTATTGCAGCTACACTGGGTTATTCAACAGTAACTGTTATTCTTGGTGATGGTAATGGATCTTTTTCAGGTCGAAAAAGCTTTTCAGTTGGCATTCTTCCATCATCTGTTGCTGTTGGTGATTTTAATAACGACAATCATTCAGATATTGTTGTTGCTAATTCTGGTAGCAATTTCATTAGTGTTCTATTAGGATATGGTAATGGTTCATTTCATACTCAAATTAAATATGTAACTAATTCTGCTACATATTCTCTAGCAATTCATGATTTTAATGATGATAATCGGCTTGATATTGTTATTACGAATGGAGATGATGCTACTATAGGCATTATGTTAGGTGATTCAAATTTTGTTTTCAGACAGCAAACATCGCTTTTTACTGGTAACTCTTCTCGATCACGATCATTAGTTATTGATGATTTTAATAATGATTACCATATGGATATTGTTGTCGCTAATTCAGGTACTCATAATATTGGTCTTTTCTTTGGTTATGGAAATTTGACATTTGCAGAGCAAATGACATATTCAACTGGTAATAATTCATATCCATATTCTGTCGCTGCAGGTCACTTCAATGATGATGTTCAATTAGATCTTGTTACTGCAAATTTCGGGTCTAATACGATTGGCGTTTTTCTTGGATCTGATAAGAACTCCTTTATCAGCCAGAGAACGTATTCAACTGGTTCATATTCATCTCCTTATTCTGTTGCCGTTGGATATTTTAATAATGATACTCGATTGGATATTATTGCTATTAATTATGATAATAGCAAATTTGGAATTTTTCTCGGTCATGGTGACGGAACATTTGATGGAATTATTTTATTTTCAATGCCTTATGGATCCCATCCGTTCTCTCTAGCTCTTGCTGATTTTAATCGTAATGGAAAGCTGGATATTGCTGTGATTAATAATGGAACGGATAGTTTAAGTCTTTACTTACAAACTTGTTAAGTACATTTTTATGTTTTTTATAAATTAAATAGAGAAAAATATAAACACTGTTGCACTCTTATTCTCGACGCCTTCTCTACAACTGGTTTCCTTTGTCTGTTTGAAACGTTCTAGGCGGTAAAAAGTAAAGTTTGAACGAATCATTCAAAACGCTGCTAGTTTCTAGTGAGCGTGAGAAGAAAGTCAACATTTACAGCCATCTTCGAGAGAAAAGCAAACATTATATTTACTCTTTTCTGGCAATCGATTTGTGCCCTTGTGTTCCTTTTGTGGACAGTAATATAAACACGAGGGTACAAGAGTTAGAGCAGAAATTAAGAAAACCGTCTCTCATGACATTATCCGACATCAGATTCGTTTTCTAACCGTAAAAAACTGAAACTATTTTCGAACATAATTTTAAAGTCTATTTCTATGACTGAAAAATGTCTATATGAAATTATTTCCATCAATAAGGATACGCTTCATTACACAACAAAATTGAGATATTCTGTTTAACTCACGGTAGAAAATACGTAGTTCGAAGTTCTTGTAGATTTATCATTTTCTTCACTCAATCATTGACACTACTTGTCCCTCAGTTGTATAAATACAGAGCCTAGTAATATAAAGTTACTCAGAGATGTTTTCCATTACTATGAAAATCCAACAGAAACGTGTAATAATTCTCTTAATTTGATAATTGATTGGAGAAAATGCAACATTGACTTCGTTGGGGTCTATATAAGTTGCTACGAGTTCACCGATGTTTATGTAAATAAAGGTAGAGAGGATTTTTTTATACATACAAACAGAGATATAACACCATATAACAGTACGACAAGGATACAGGTTCGGGCTAAGAGGACGATACTGAAAGAAATATCTCTGGATATGTGTCTGAAATCGTTGACTTACTCCAACTTAACTCACTTGACGACTCTCCTTTGTTCTCGTTCTCTGAACATATTCAATTGCTTTACGTAATCTAATGGAGAAAGTGGACCCTGTTGCTCTGAGTCTTTCTTCATCTTGAACTATCAAGTTCAATTGAGTAGTATCATAGCCATGAAATGGAAAGTGACCTCATGAATGGACATTACGTGATACTATGTCGTAATATTAACCTTTTCATAACTCAAGAATGTCCGTCATTAGGGACGCTATCAGGGAAGAAATGTCTACGTGGTATTGGAAATATTGTCCTTAGAGATGTTGGCACAGGTTGCCCTTTTGAATTTCGTATGTTTTATTACTTGTAACTAAGGAAATCGATATTTCAACTTTGTTATAATATATGCGACCATTTCGAAACGGAAAGGATTAGCGAGATTTTCTAGGTAACACAGAGTTAAGTAGGACTTCATGACTGATATAAGCAAAAGAACGAAAGAAAGTACAACATGAATACGTAGTGCCTACATGTTTATATGAAACAAAGGATGCTGGTGCTTGTTTAGCATCACCTAATAGAAGACAGAAAGATGTTCCAAACAGTTAAAAAATATACTAAGAATAGCTTTCTTCAATAATTACATTTGGTCGTATATATATACGTCGATGGGACTCAAATTGTTAACTGCGTTTATCTTCAAAAATGTTTTTCATGAATAGAATGAAGAAGAATTACCCATACGGTTTCTTATTTATTTCAAAAAACATTGTTAATTAACATTCAAGGATAACAAGTGTAATGTTTACAACAAGCTGCATCAGTTTTACCAATGTACAAGAATGAGAACTGATCTATCAGATATTTTATTTTTTCATGATAAAAAAAAGAAAGGTAGGTCATCAATAAGTTTCTGCTAGTTTTACCATTCATGCCTCTCGTGTTGACAATTATAATCGAAGAAAATGTTGTGAAAATCTTGAACTTGCATTTACATTCGCTGATGGATGTCCTTGAAATAGCATCGCCATGGTGTCAGGTAATTTGTGAACATGGCGAAACTTTTCTCTTTAAGAAATCTTATTATTACTGAAAGGTGTAGAAGAACTACCGCGTTCGCGACGTTCAAACTAGTACGTTTCTCCTTGGTTACATTCACTGCCCAAATTACTTAAACATTTCGCGTCAAGTTCAGAATAAAAAAGAAGTTAACTTATGCATAGATAGAACTTATCGTTAGTTTATTTCTCAAATATCATATAATAAACCGATTCATTCTTTTTCCTATGATTTTCGAACAGCTCGTCCGTTACAGTGAGTACCTAATGGTGATTCTACAGTAACTAAAGTACTGTCTTCGCTCAAATTCATAACACCAACAATTGGTAATTTTGTTGAAAATGTCGATGGTTTGATAGCAGGTAAAAAGAATGTTGAAAGTCCATTACATTGACCTACTAATTTACCAGATAATGTCATAAAGAAATAAGCTATCTCTTTAACATTGACTTCTCCAGAAAGACAGCAGCATACGTCTCGGTTACACAATGGAGTAACATTGAATGTACCCGACCAGTTTGGCTTTGTTTCTAGAATAGATAGTTTTAAGAAAGATATGAAAATGTAACATAGTTTCACTTACCATAACTTGATATCGTGGCGATATTCAAAGCTATCAAGAAAAGAAATGGATAAAACATTCGATTTTATTTTTGTTTTCAAACTGAATTTTTTCAATCAATCGATTTCAATAAATATGCACTTTGAGAAAGAATTAAAATTAATCCTTAATACTAAATAGCGAAGTAAGAATGACATCACATTTTTATCAAGTGCTTAGGTTAGAAAAAGAAGCTAAATCATAACTATAGATTCTTTCAATATTATTGCTTTCTAACGTGAGGATTAATCAGAATGACTGTGCACTAGGAAGATTCTCTCAACTTAGACCGAGAAACGAAAGTAACGAACAAATAAACATCAAAATATCAAGAGGTTGAAAGTGTACATAGATATATGTGTTTATCATGATTCATATCCTCATCCTCACGGTGCAGTGTACATAATTGGTGGATAAAGTCCAACGTTTACGCATCTATCCATTGATGCAATCAAATCACTTGTAATATCCCGTCTGTTTCCTCGACTGAAAGAAAGGACATACGAAAAAGATAGCGTGTATGTATGTGTCTTTGTGGTCAGGGTCGAAGGCCAAAAGAACATTTTTCCCCCCAAAATTTTGAAAAGTCGAAAAACACCTCTTTGAGTGGGTTGAAGAGACGAAAAAGATCGTTTATAAAATGTTTAGGAGTCGATATAAAACAAAAATCTGTTCATGTCAGAGAGCTTTAGTTTTCAAGAACTTCATGGTACACTATGCAGGTTCTCTTGAGTGTTTATCTATGTGTCTGTTCGCATGGATACGGATTCCGTTTCTGTAATATTTACAGTAGCCCAACTTTCCATAGTGCGTCCGTCAGTTCAGAAGAAGGACGACACAGAGTTGACTTTTCATATGGCGAGTTGGGTGAGGATACCTGAGTGAAATTTTACTCACGCAATTTTTTGTCACTTAAAGTCGCCTAGTTTTGAGAAAAATACTAGGGATTTGCACTGAAGAGATGTTCTTCTTGGTACAAAACGATATAAAACTTTCACTTAAAAACGTTAAAAACCAGAAAAGAAAACAGTTTATTTCGATATTGTATCACGTTTACGGTGTTGCTCTCTCTCTTGCAATCAAGCAAATGACCGCGCATATTCCCCTCTCTTTCACGATCTTTTGCGCTCATAGTATTATGACGGCTGTTTCCTAATGAGTACGATGGATTCCCGACAGGATTGAAAATCTAGACTTATTAGAAAATACAAATGTTAAACGACCCTCCACCAGAAATCGTAGTGTAGGTCAAAATATGTGGGTCAACGGATTTTGAATCTGTCCCCGCAAGAAGTTACGCTTCATTGGCTCATATATGAATCCAAAATATTCCCAAGCAGACAAGTAGCAGAAAAAAAACGCGTAAAAACGTCAAGGTTTTAACTAAAATAAAATTGGGAAAAGAGCACATCTTCAAGAATTAAAATTCTCTCGTAACGTTAAAAAAGCGTTAGTTTATGCAACTTTACGAGTACCATCGCGTTAAATATCACATAATAACGCATTATTACGACGAAAATTTGAGCAAATTAATATTTTCATGCGTTTAAACACTAAAGATTCGTTACAACTGTGTTTTATTGATAACAACCTGTTAAATCGCTGTTTATCGAGATTTCCACATCCTCCAGATTTCTGTTATTCAACGTGACGTGAATAAGTGAACGAATAAACTGAATTTCATGACAACTTTGACTTATAAAAACTTATTGTATCAGTAATCTCTTTTTGATTTGTTAAACTGATTGGTTGTAATTACTGTTTCTAAGAGTCATAATAACTTGGATTTCAATCTTTAATATGCGGAATATAATTGGCTGTAACACCTGCAGTGCTATGTACTATACCGGTGCAAACTTTACATGTTGCTTCCCACGAATTTTTATGGTCGGAAGTTTGAATCCCAGTGTAAAGTTGATCATGAGTCCTTTTTCGATAGGTTTTGAAATTGAAATAGAACTCTCATCACTTGAGCTTGCTGTATCACACTCAACAATAGCTGGTTATGATGCTCGTTCAGTAGTATCAGACAATATGATTAACTTGCTAAAAATATTGATGTTACTTATTGATAAAATCGATTAATATGTTATTTGAAAACCCGATCATATCATGTTTCTTCGAACAAAAGATGATTGCATTAGTGAAGACGATATCTTTCAATTTATATATTGTTACATTCCTCGATTTGATGTGTGGATACATCCATTCGTCCTTTCCAGCTGATATATACACTTATTTTTCATCAGTCAGCTGGTACATTTCAATTTCAAGTACTATTTTAGTACCGATCAAGATATATATTCCCTCAATGTGCTTTGTATAAAATTCTTTTATTCTTCTTATGACATTTCGTTTAAAAAATGAAAGATTAGTAATCTCGCTAGATTTTGATCTGTTTTATATATAAACATCGTACGTTTCCTTAATAAGCACTGATTTTTCTCACCACATTCTATCATAGTCTATTAGATTAGCCTACTAATACAACACAATTCTAGTGCACCTTTACGATACCATAAAAAATATCATATAGAATTTTGCTGCAGATTAGCAATAGATAAAACAAATGCTGCATATATTAATTCAATACTTGGTCAACTCGTCGTGCCCCTGCAAAATTTATTAGAGTAATTTTATAAATGCACTGAAGAATCACACCATTAATGACTATTTCGAATTTCATGACATTAGTCAATTGTACAAAAATTTTGCGTCATTCTCCTATAAGTTGAATTGTCCAGTTCTGATTAATAGTCATTGTGGAATTGTTAATGTCTTCTATTCATTAGAGGCTCATAAAGAGAAAAATCGAATCATTATTCAAATCGCTTCTTTTCAAAATTTTTATATCTCTTTGTATCAATAAGTCGATTTATTTTTCTGTTAGCGTAAGCAAAATAAAATTAGAAGAAATATTTAATCAATCAAAATCATTCTTGTGAATATGAACCGATCGAAAAAGGAATCATTCTTATGTTCTTCTTTTCTTGGTGAAAAGCTAATCATGAAGCTCTTCTTTATCGAAAATGTATTCACCAAGTCCAGAACCAACGCGACGTAAGTTAGTAATATAATCGCTAATTTGCTTGATGGATTTGACCTTAAGTAAAACAGAATGAAATAAATGAAATAATCAAAATATTTTAAATCACTTGTTCTTCAATGAATTCTCCTTCAAGATAATCTGTCAAATGTGGATCACTGAAATAAAGCAAAATTGAATAAATATCAATAGAAGGTGCTTATTTTCATACTTGTGTTGACAAGCAGATCCATGTAATTCAAGCAATGCTTGATAAACATCTTTTTCCAATTGTAAAGCCGTTTCAAAAGCTTCGAGAGGAGAATTCCAACTTTGCTGTTGTGGTTTCTAATTTTTTAATAGTATAATAAGAAATGAAATGTATGTAATCAACAAACTTTGATATCCAAAAGAACAATTGCACCACCGCGTTTATTTTGATATTTCATGAATTTATTTGCATGTTCATTTTCTTCTTCGGCCATTTTTTTAAAATATTCATGATGTCCTGAACAAGTATTTTATACAAAAAAAATCAAACCAATTTATTCGTATCTTCTTACCTTTTAAAGCAACATCATAACGATCGAAATGATGAGCCATAGCTGTATAAACATAACTTGCATATAATTCCAAGCTGATCTGTCGATTGACCAAACCTTCATTATCTTCATGATAATTACTAAAAGAGATAATAAATAAAGTTATAAAAACTACTTGATCTTTTCACAACGAATACATACTATCGAACGAGATTTTCTCGTGATGGATTCGATGAAGCTAAACTTTGCTCGTCTGTCGACATAATTGAAACAATTATTTATTGTTTTGTAATATATATATAACAAAGTTTTGAAAAGAAGCG